TTTTTTGGCAATGAGATATGAAACTCTTCAAAGATGAAATTTTGTTGATGGGATGTGACTATATTTTTTCTTGGTTTAATGGGTCTTGGGTTTAGAAATTTTTAGGCTATGATTAGAAAAAAAAACCCAAGTAAGTAGAAGGGAATTAATATATTGGATCAGTTTGATTGGATCGATTTTCTTCAAACCATCTAAAAACCGATCCAATCCAATTAAAATTTGCGATTTTTTTTTTTGTTTTTGATTTTTTGATTTTCGGTTTATTCGGTTATCGGTTTTTCGATTCGATCACTGCGGTTTGAATTGGTTTGAATCGGTTGATGAACACCCCTAGTATATATACGGTAAATATTTGACTATTGCACGTATAACAACTGCGAAAATGAAAATTCTATATATATATATAGGGGCAGGTTATATTTACAAACTTTTTTGTTTACAAACTCTTACAAACTAAACTATGTAGGACCGGTCCTACATTAATCACACAGTGTACGACCGGTCCTACATTAGTGTAATTGCAAAAAAAGTTTGTAAACGGATCCTATCCCATATATATATATATAGGTTTGTTTTTTCTAAAATTACTTTAGATAACTTTATCTAATGTTCATCGAAACGACGTCGTTTTGGGACGGAAATCATGGTGTTTTTGTAATTTTAATTTATTTCTGGGTTATAATAGTCTTTATCATTATATTTTTTTAATTTTTCAATCCCAAAACGACGTCGTTTCGATAAATATTAGACAAAATGGTTTAAAGTAATATCGGAAACTTTTTCCCTATATATATATATATATATATACACATATATATATAGGGAAAAACTACTCTTATGCTACATGTGATAAATTTCTCTCCTATACATCCTTCGATAGTTGTGCCATTTTTTTATTTTCTTTTTATTTTTCAAATGGTGGAGCTCATAAATTTATCTATATGACATGAGATAACTTATCTTCTTTAACATGAGATTAATAAAAGGGAAAAATATTTCTACAGCCACTTTAAATAGGGTTATCTACTGCTACCATTTTTAACTATGTTCTCCCGGGAGAACATAGTTATAACATTAAAGTTGCTTTTTTTTGTCTCTCTACGTCTCAGCAATCAGGTTATGAAAAGTAACTAAGGGGAGAGAGAAAAAAAAATAACTTTACTGTTATAACTATGTTCTCCCGGAGAAATAGTTAAAAATGGTGGCAGTAGATAACCTTATCTAAAGTGGCTGCAGAAATATTTACTCCTTAATAAAATTCATATATATATATATATAGGGAAAACATTTTCTCATGTTGCATGAGAATTCAATTTTCATGTTGTGACCCTTCAATTTGCGTGCAATTTTTTTTTTTTAATCAATGTGGGACCCACCACTAATTGAGTCACAACATGAAAATTGAATTTCCATGCAACATGAGAAAATCAAACCTCATATATTATATATGAGGCAGGATCCTTTGACACCGGTGTCAAAGGAAAAGTTTGACACCTCATCTTAGAGCCGTTAGATTTAAAAAAATAATGGTGTCACATGCTTACAAATCAGAATTGTTGATTTTTTTTAATCTAACGGCTCTCAGATGAGGTGTCAAACTTTAAATTTGACACCGGTGTCAAAGGATCCTGCCTCATTATATATATATATATATATTAGGAGGAGAACCAGGGTTCACGCTTGCCCCGTTGAATGCGTCCCTGTTGTTCTTTAAGCATATTTTACGACATAAACAAATACGAAAAGTGCTATGATTTGAAAAGTATATTATGGGTCCGCCCCCAAATCAAACTGGCGAATCCGTGAGGCATCTCAAAGTGTATGTAAGATAAATCATTGAGATTAATGAAATTGAAGGTAAATAACTAAAAATGAGAGAGGAATGAAATAATCAATTAGGCCACAAATTTATATATGGTCCTAGATTGCATAGTTTATCTTTTTTTCTTTCTAATTTGACATGAATAAAAAGTTATAGCTGAATTTGTAATTATAATTATGTTATATTTATTACCTCACGTACTTTAAAATATTCGTCGTTTAAGATTTCTTCCAAGATTAATAAAATCATAATATATCTTTAATTTTAATAAATATAATTTGACTATTATCTTTTCATATTATTAATGATTTTTTTATTCTATTTGATAAAAAATATCAAGAAATACGAATAAAAATAAAAAATTTCTTTTTTTAAGTGACATGTAAAAGAAAATAATTTTTTTAAAAAATAAATAATATTCTAAAAAAAATATTATGCAAAATGATTTTCAGATTTTTACCTTTGTTTTCAATTACTGCTTCGCTCCAATTTTTCATTTCAAACCAAGGGGCACAGAATGCAAAAAAAAAAAAAAAAAAACGATGTGCGTGTCAAATCTTTAATTAAAAATGGCTTTGACTATGTACCATAAAAAAGAGTCTTTGACTTGTCATAATCCCCTTGGGCCAACGCACGGGCACGAAGCAAGTGCAGTTGAATTTTGTCTTTCTCACTCCTGTCAGTTTATGCTTGTCTGAATCTCTGTCCTTTTAAAAGCATGTTTTTATTTTTCAAATAATAAAAGAAAAACATCATTTTTGGTTTTTCAGAAATTATAATCTCTGTCTCCTTTTTTTTACTTGTAAATTTTTCTTTTTCGTATCCTTCTACTTGTACTTTTTATCATTGTTACTATTTGTTTAGTTTTTATCTACAAAATGAATATAAAGATAATAAATCAAAGCAATGACAGAACCAAAAAATTTTATAAAGGGAAAAATTATAAATTATATTCTTTTCAAAGTTACAATTACTTTTTATATATATATATATATATATATATATATATATATATATATATATATATATGAGTTTGAATCTCTACAGCAATAACACATTTTAAATCTTTGCAAGCATACACAAAAATATGGTGAGATCCAATAGGGTGGGATCTAGCATGTTCCTGTGTTGAGATATATAGTCCCACATTGATTGTGTAGGCAATTAATGTGACATTTATAAGGCATTGGGCACTCCTACCCTTTGAGCCAAGGCTTTTGGGGTGGTGTATCCCAAAGTTCTTTACATGGTATCAGAGCCTCGCCGCCTCCCACTTTCTCTTGTGGCGTTTCTTAGCACAGGTAGGCTGAGCCTGTTGTATTGTCCACTCTTCAAGCTCAACGTGCAACTAATGCGGAGTTTATAAGGCTTTGGGCACTCCCACCACCCTTTGAGCTAGCTTTTGGAAAAAGCACAAAAAAGGTAAACCAAAAATTGGGCATGTGCAATTTCACGCTTCTAGCCCAAAGGGCTCTTGCGTGAGGGGGCGTGTTAAGATATATAGTCTCACATTGATTGTGTGGGCAACTAATGTGACCTTTATAAGACATTGGACACTCATACCCTTTGAGCTAGCTTTTAGGGTGGTGTATTCTAAAATTCTTTACATCCAGTGATATGAAATTTTAATTGTTGATTTTTTAATAAATTATAACTTTTAAATTGACAGAAATCAAGGTTAGTGCAAAGCTTTTTTGTTTGATACGGGTATAAAAAATCTTATCCCATATATTTATTATATATAACTAAAGCTTTATATAAGTTTGGAAGGAGAAGATCGTATAACGAAAAAAATTAAAAGTAATACTCAATCTTAAAAACTTGTGTAAAATTAAATGAGGCCATCACTTTTTTTAACCCACTCCTTTGCTCCACTTCTGAAGTAAGGGATTTAGGGTTTTCAAACCCCATGCTAGACCAAAACTATTGCTATGTTTAGACTAGCATTTGGGAGTTTTTAATTCATTTTTCAAATCCTAAAGCATGATTTTTTTTTTTCTAAACTAATTATATTTCGTGGTTTTTAACCAAATATGATTTTGCCTTCAAACACAGGTTAGTTAGACTGAAAGTAAAAATTTGAATTTCATAGTAAATTAAGAATTTCATACTAAGTTTTACTATAAATTTTCCTTTTAAGATAAAAACGTTTAAACTCACTTTTAATTAAAATCAATATTACAAAATTAAATTTATCCAAAATTAAGACTCACCCTAACACAAACTAAGTCAACCACTATAGTCATTGACATATTAACACATAATGAAATAATAATATAATTTTATTTTATTTTAAAGGAGAATTGTACAGTTTCAAATATGTAATTTGTGTCTTTTAAAACTAGTAAAAAAAGTTAAATGTAACTTACCTGCACATGAAGCTGATATTGATTGCGTTACCAAAATTGGTGTGGTTATGGACTTATGGTTATGGTATGAGGTTACTTTCGCTATGTTAATTGTTCGCTTTTCCTTTCCTTCACTAACGAGACACGTTTACACGAATTTTTAACCACTTTTGAATTTGATCCAACTTGTTGTAGACGGTCTAAAACCGTGTCCCCAACATTAATCCTCAGCGCCGTACATCGTTGCCAAATTTTCCACGAAATTCACGTAAAGGCATGAGATGTCTCAGGATTCTCAACCAAGAAAACGGCGTGTGTCATTTTTTTTTCTTCTTCTTGGTTTATTAACCAATGAATGATACTCCTAATTAATCTACCCAACATTTATTACAAAGAATTACATAAACCGTGTCCGTGTTGTTCTTTTTCAGTCTAAGGCATTTTTTTTGGTCAAACTCAAACCCGTGCGAACCAATCTTTTCGCTGAACCGGTCAGCAAGGGCGGCTCGACCGCCCCCCGTGGTTTCATATGTAAGCTTTTTCATCACTTCCACCTATTCCATGACTCTGAATCAATCAATCAATCAATAAATAAATAAATAAAAAAGACCCCAAAAGTATAAACACACAACTGAAATTTCAAATTCATTAATATACAACGTCAAACAATTTATCATAATCATACAAACAAATTAAAAAAATAAATAAATAAAATGGAAAGGAAAGCATCATGTTTCAGGCAATGGGGTTCAAGTTCAAGTTCAACTACCTCGTGTTTTTATGAGTTTTGCTCAATAAAGAAAAACTAGTAGCACAAGCAAGGAACGTAGATGTCAGAGCAAGAAACAGATTCATGTGGCTTCCTGTTACTCTTTTTCTTAATCCTTGTTTCAGGTACTTACTCTCTCTTCTTTTCTTTTTTTATATTCTCTGTTTCCTAGGTTGATGATTCTGTTATAAGTTATAACAACCTCGTTTTTTTTGTGTTCGAATTTTTCGCAGGAAAAGTTGTTTCCGGGGAATCTTTGGACACGGACAAACAAGTTCTGATGAAGCTGAAATCGTACCTTGACAACAAAACTCTTGCAGACCGAGGAGGTTACAAATATTGGAACACCAACATATCCAATCCTTGTGAATGGGAAGGAATCAGGTGCAGCAGCAGCAACACGGGGAGGGTGGTTGGTGTGGACCTTTCTAACAGTGTCATAACCGGTGAGATATTCCACAACTTCTCTCAGCTAACTGAGCTCACACACCTTGATCTCTCTCAGAACACACTCTTTGGTGAGATTCCAGAGGACTTGAGGCGCTGCAACAAGCTCGTGTATCTTAACCTCTCTCATAATATTCTTGCTGGAGAGTTTAACTTGATTGGATTGACAAGCTTGCAAACACTGGACTTGTCTCTTAATAGAATCTATGGAGAGCTTGGGTTCAATTTCCCTGCCATTTGTGACAATTTAGTCACTTTGAACGTCTCCGGTAATAACTTAACTGGTAGGATTGATAACGTCTTTGATCAATGTCCCAATTTGCAGTACTTGGATTTGAGCACCAACAATTTTAGCGGCAGCATATGGATGAATTTTGCAAGGTTGAGAGAGTTTTCTGTTGCGGAGAATCAACTCAATGGGACCATTCCTTCGGAAGCTTTTCCTATGAATTGTAGCCTTGAAGAACTAGACCTTTCGGTGAATGGTTTTGTTGGTGAGGCACCAACAGATGTTGCTAACTGCAAGAATTTGAGCGTTCTGAATCTTTCAAGCAACAAATTCACTGGGGGTATTCCCATTGAAATGGGTTCCATTTCGGGCCTCAAAGCATTGTACTTGGGGAACAACAGCTTTTCAAGTAATATTCCAGATACCCTTCTGAACTTGACCAATTTGGTTTTCTTGGATTTGAGCAGAAACGGATTTGGTGGGGACATACAAGAGATATTTGGGAAATTTAAGCAACTGAACTTTCTTCTATTGCACTCAAATTCTTACACTGGAGGATTGATATCTTCGGGAATTCTTACATTGCCAAACATTGTGCGGTTGGACCTAAGCTTCAATAACTTTTCAGGTCGATTACCCGTTGAAATCTCTCAGATGTCAAGTCTGAAGTTGTTAATGTTATCCTACAACAAATTCAATGGATCTATTCCACCCGAATTTGGAAACATGTATCGCCTGCAAGCACTTGACCTTGCCTTCAACGAGTTGACTGGTCCAATCCCACCAAGCCTTGGAAACTTGAGTTCCCTTTTATGGTTGATGCTTGCGGATAATTCATTAACCGGAGAAATCCCCCCAGAGTTGGGAAACTGTTCAAGCTTGTTATGGTTGAACCTTGCCAACAATAAACTCTCTGGAAATTTGCCTTCTGAATTGACCAAAATTGGAAGGAACGCCATGGCCACATTTGAATTAAATAGGCAAAATGATGGAATGGTTGCTGGCTCTGGTGAATGTGTAACAATGAGGAGATGGATACCAGCAGATTACCCTCCATTCAGCTTTGTGTATACCATCTTATCAAGGAAAAGTTGTAGAGGCCTTTGGGACAAATTGCTCAAAGGAAATGGCATTTTCCCCTTTTGCGTACCTGGCTCTTCCTTTCGCTTGAACCAGATATCCGGGTATGTTCAGCTAAGTGGAAACCAGCTCAGTGGTGAAATCCCTTCAGAGATTGGGACAATGATTAACTTCAGTTTGTTGCACGTGGGGTTCAACAATTTCTCTGGGAGGTTCCCTCCAGAGATTGGAGGTATGCCACTTGTAGTCTTGAACATGACCAGAAACATGTTTTCAGGTGAAATTCCACAGGAAATTGGCAACTTCAAATGTATGGAGAATCTGGATTTGTCTTACAACAATTTCTCTGGTACATTTCCCACAAGTTTGAACAAGTTGGCTGAGCTGAACAAGTTCAACATCTCATACAATCCCTACATATCTGGTGTAGTCCCAGCAACAGGACAATTTGCTACTTTTGATATAGATTCATATTATGGTGACCCCCTCTTGATCCTTCCCCCGTTCATAAAAAACAAAACAAATGATAAAAACACGACCCTTCCAAAAGACCATAAAAAGCCCAATAAGTTGTCTGTGTTTTTGGTGTTTTTAGCTGTAACACTGTCTTTCATGGTAATTGGACTTACTTATATTATAGTCTGTGTCTTGGTGAAAAGGCCATCAGAGGAACCAGGATACCTCTTGAGGGATTCAAAACAGTGGCATGATTCCAGTAGCTCCGGATCCTCATCATGGTTGTCTGATAAAGTTAAGGTCATCCACTTGAACAAGACAGCTTTTACTCATGCTGACATTCTGAAAGCAACAGACAGTTTCTCAGAGAACAGAATCATAGGAAAAGGGGGATTTGGAACAGTGTACAAGGGAGTGTTTTTAGATGGTAGAGAAGTGGCAGTGAAGAAGCTCCAAAGGGAAGGACTTGAAGGTGAAAAGGAATTCCGGGCTGAAATGGAGGTTCTGAGTGGTCATAGTTTTGGTTGGCCTCATCCAAACCTGGTCACACTCTACGGGTGGTGCCTGAATGGTTCAGAGAAGATACTGGTCTATGAGTACATAGAAGGTGGAAGCTTGGAGGATCTAGTGACTGATAGAACAGGTTTGACATGGAAGAGGAGGCTAGAAGTGGCAATTGATGTGGCTAGAGCACTAGTCTATTTACACCACGAATGCTACCCTTCTATTGTGCACAGAGATGTTAAGGCTAGCAATGTATTGCTAGACAAGGTTGGGAAGGCGAAAGTCACAGATTTTGGACTTGCTAGAGTAGTTGATGCTGGGGATAGCCATGTGAGTACTATGGTGGCTGGGACAGTGGGTTATGTTGCACCTGAATATGGACAGACATGGCAAGCCACAACAAAAGGAGATGTGTACAGTTTTGGGGTGTTGGTTATGGAGCTTGCAACAGGTAGGAGAGCAGTGGATGGTGGTGAAGAGTGTTTGGTGGAATGGGCTAGGCGTGTTATGGGATATGGAAGACATCATCATGGGTTAAGCCGTTCTGTGCCAGTTTTGCTAATGGGTTCTGGGCTAGTTGGTGGGGCAGAGGAGATGGGTGAACTCCTAAGAATTGGGGTGAAGTGCACAGCTGAGGCACCACAGGCTAGGCCTAACATGAAGGAGGTTCTAGCTATGCTGATTAAGATTTCCAACCCCAAGGGAGACTCAAGTTATGGACACCTTGTTTAGTCGTTTGTGTTTTGTAATTAAATGATCCGGGGGAAAAATGATGCATACTTTAAGCTGTAACATAGTTCAAATTACATAGAAAAAAATGTCATGCACAGTTTATTCTTCTACTGTATACAGAAACTTCATTCATTATGTTGAGGAAGTTGCTCAAATTTTTTGTGTAACACTTATTCATGCAGTGCTTTTACGTCTGTTTTCCCCTTTTGATGAATGTTTTAGCAATCAGCACCTCAGTTCTTTTTTGTCTTAAGCAATTTTGCACCCTAAAAAAAAAAAAAAAAAAACTAAAAACTTTCTACAAACCTTTCATGCAAAATGGAGCAAAAGAGAGAAAGTACACATAGTCAAGGAGCCTTGAGGCAAACAATTAGACTGTCATTTAGTAGAATGCCACTTTGCTCAATACTCTGTCAGGGGTGTGGGTCCCTCCCAAGTGTGGCTATTCTAATTAGTGTTTTATTTTTTAACAAAAATAAAAATAAAAATGGGCCTCCACTATGCAAAAAGGTGAAGTGCGAGGATTGTTTTTTTGAAAAAAGACATGCGATGGTTTAGTAATAGCGGGGAAGAAGACAATTTTAATATCTCCAGACTCTAATCGTATACTTGGTAGAATTACATGCTCCATTCGGCTAAATTTCAATACGTAATTCTTGCCATTAAGAACTTTATTTTGGTATATATTTCTTGTTTTGCCTTCCTTATTGTCCGGGCTTTACTATCTCATTGGCAGGTTTTTTTTATAGAGTAAATTCCTTTTCGGTGCCTAAAAAAAAAAAATACTGTTCTCACCTTAGTTCCTTATCAAAAAAAAATAAAAAATTAATTGTTTAGTTCTTATAAAATTCAAAGTGGACTTATTTTAGTTCTTTTAAGAAATTAATGTGGATATTTTTTAAATTTAATTAAATGAGTCCACTTTAAATTTCTTAAAAATCTCAAAATTATTGTTTTTTTTTGCAATGAGCTAAAGTGGAATTTTTTTTTTTGTTAACTTTAGTAAAGCTTTCTCTTCATATTGGCTCAGACGACCAAGTCTCATATGCGACAATAGCTATTAATCTACTCATAGCTTCCTAAATAGTATGTACTAGCCTTAGTATCGCATGGCAAGAACCTGAGGCTTTAAGAAGGGAACTTGTGAGGTTATTATGAAAGGTAAGACAAAAAAGCATAAAATCCTTTGAAGAATTCAAATACTTACATTTAAATAGAGGTGTTAAAATGGGTTCAACTTCATGGGTAAAGCCTTATATTAGGTCATAACCTATTAAGGTTTTTTTTTTTTTAGGGCTTTTCTTAATCCTAATCCTCAAAGACTTATAAATTAGAGGTTTTGGTTAGGACAAACTCACTGATCAAATTTTTCACTTCATCAAAATTTTTATTATTTAAAAATACAAAAAAATATATAAATTTAAAATTTTATAAATATAAAATAAATTATAAACATAATATAAATATAAATAAATTTTTCAACAGTGATATATTTCAATAGAAAATTTTGTCTGCGCATTAGTACAAATAAAATTTTCTATTGATGTTTAAGCAGTTGTATATCCAAATTTGCACGGAAATATATTGTATATAATACACCTTGGTACTTTTGTGGATAATAATAAGTAAAATTATTTTTGTAATGATAATAATGGAAGAAAATCAATTATTTAACTTTGAATATATGAGCAGTTATTTATATTGAGATCATTTTTTTATTGCTACTTTTAGTTTTCCACCAGAACTGCTTTATTTTGTTACTATTCTTGGTGAGAAAATCTCCATTTAATCACATCCTTTAACAATAAATTTAATAAAAGTAGTAATTAAATTTTTTACTTCTATTAAAATTTTGTTAAAATTACAATTGTATATTTATGTACAAATATTATTTTATTAAAAAATTAAATTATAAAATTTAGTATAAAATATTTTAAGAATGCAATATTTATTTGTTAAAATAATTTTTAATGATTGAATATGATAAAAAAATAAAATTTTATGCAATTATAATTGTAAATAGCTCACGAGCTAACCGTAATCTATAGAATTTTTGGCCCATATTAACTTTTATTATTAAGGACTTTTTAGTTCTAACCCACACATATTAAGACCTAATGAAACGGGCTGATTGTTGCTTTATCTGTCAATTGATAAGAATTAATAAAGCTTTTGCTAGAATGCTGCATGTATGCATGTATATTTCCTGATTCATGTGATTTTCTAAAGTTAAGCAGAAAGTTTCACATCTTTGGATCCTAAATATAGTAAATTTGGTTGTGAATGATAGGGGTAGATAGATGATATACATGTCATGTCAGCACAGGCACAAACGTCTAGGTAGGCGCATGCCAACCTGCAGAGCATATGCGCATGAGATCCTTCCCTCGTTTTCCAAGCAAAATTGGTCTCTCTTGTATCCTTCCAAAATTCAGATTAGCCATATTCCTATAAGCCATAGGCTATAGGCTATATTTCAAGAATGTACACAAAGCACAAATTTTATCCTATTCTGCAAACATGACATGTCAACCCCTCATGATGAATTTTATAGATGTTTTCAGGGGTAGGTTTGATGTTGCATATTTTCCATATAGGAACCGCAATTTTTGGGATTCGTAACCTATGTCAGCAGCTGATGATGTTTGTTTGTCCATATTGAACCCATGCGCAACAGAAAAGACATAGGATCACCATATATGAAACTTTAATAAGAACCATATCAATTTTGATGGAAGATAAATCCTAACTAGATAGGAACAAAACTGGATTCACTAAAGCAAATTAACACGACTGCTAGATTCTATATATATATATAGCTTAATACGACAACAATTAGGGAATGAGAGCAAATTGTTGTTGGGGCTAAAACTTTTATGGTGCAAGTGATTTCAAGTCATGGATGCAAAGATGGAGGCATATCTGCAATACTTCACGTGATCGCTGCCCTACAGACAAACCACTCAAATGCTCCTCCACTATAAAAATTGGTGCATATATTAGCTAGAGAGAAATGTTAGCAACACCTGTACTATTTTTATTATTATTATTATTATTATTATTATTATTAGGTGAAATATATATTAATTTCACTAATATATAAAAGGCATAAGTTATCTGGTGAGACTAGGGTAAAATTTCACTGAGAATTAAAAAGGAGAGTATAAAAAAATATATTGCAAGCAATCTCATTGGTTAATTAGAAATAGAGGGAACAAAGGAAGGGAGCAAGAATCCTATCAAATCTTTCTCCCTTTCTCTCTATCTTAGAACCCCACTCCCAGGTTGTCTATAAATTGGACATGCACAAGCCTTTGGATGAAACATAAATAAGAGAAACCACCTAAGAAAATTAATTAATGGAGTGCACTTATGAGTTTCCTAGAAATACAAGAGATGTTTCTCTTCAGGAGCTTAGCAAAAGGCTTGCTGAGTTTGCTGAAGTAAGAGGATGGGATCAGTATCACAGTCCCAGGAATCTTCTTTTAGCTCTTGTAAGCCCATGCATATATATGACTGAATTGAAGTTGAAAATTCTTTAATGTTTTATGGTTTATAATTATATTCCCTCAGCTATATATATATATATATAATGAACATTATGTACTCCTTCATGCTGCAGGTTGGAGAGGTGGGAGAGTTATCTGAGATATTCCAGTGGAAAGGAGAAGTAGCAAAGGGATTACCCAATTGGAGTTCTGATGATAAGGAGCACTTAGAGGAAGAGCTTTCAGATGTTTTGCTGTATCTAGTGCGTCTTGCTGATGTTTGTGGTCTAGATCTTGGACAAGCAGCTCTGACAAAATTAATCAAGAATGCTCAGAAATACCCAGTTACTCATGATCACACTGCTACTTCCACCAGCAACTAGCTGTTAAATTTCCCATGCCTTTTTCTGCATGTGTTATTATTTAGTGTGCTACTTATAAAGAAATTGCATCTACATATGTAACTTTTGTTTTTTCTTTTTTAGTTTCAAACTGAGTCCAGTACTGCCACTTCAACCTTGGGCGTGTAAGAGCAAACCATTGTAGAAGCAATAAGTATTTGAAAATTTCAGTTATCTGATGTAGTTGTTTTGGCAGTCATTTACTTACCATAAGCAGTGCACTCATATTTCATTCTGCTATTTTTGAAACTCCCCATTAGATCTGTTGTCCTATGTATTAGTGAAATATGATATGTAGGCGCATACGGAATACCTACCTACCCAAGAGATCGCAGGCTTCTTCGTGGACGTGAAGGTTAAGAGAGAGTTCTTGAATTCAACCCAAAAAATTAACCTATTAACTGAAATTATATTAAGAGTAAACACCTTTTTTAGTCTCTGTCAATATCTACGAAGTCCTTTTTAGTCCCTGGCAATAAAAAAGGACCAAATTAGTCCCTGAAATTACAAAAAAAGGGCCATGTTAGTCCTTATGTCAACTCCCAAATATGTAGAGTGGCCCTTTTCTTGTACTTTCAGGGACCAATTTGGTCCTTTTTTATTGTCAGGGACTGAAAAGGACTTCGTAGATATTGTTAGGGACTAAAAAGGGTGTTTACTCTTATATTAATAAATATATATTAATATTTTTAATGCACTCTGTTACGCAATAACTTTTGGGTTTAAATAAAGTAAGTTTATAAGTGATAACATGTTAATAGTTTTATATTAATATTAAAAGGGCAAATCATTTATGCATCTGTGGCCGAAAATTACACAAAACAACAGTGTAAAGAATCAATATTAAAACGTGAATATTGCACCGCTTTTAATTTTATCTTAATGCAATCAATTTAATCCAATAAAGTAAGTTTATAAGTGAGAACATGTTAATAGTTTTATATTAATATTAAAAGGGCAAATCATTTATGTATCTGTGGCAGAAAATTCTGCCATAGACACAAAACAAAAGTGTAAAGAATCAATTCAATTCAAAAGTTTAAATTGGTGGGTGAGATTACATTAATGATTTTAATTATATATCTCTAACACATTCCTTCACACGAGAGCCTACTGAGCTTGAAGGATGAACAATGCACAGATCCACCTAACTGTGCTAAAAAATTTCACAAGAGAAAGTGAGAGCGGAGATGATCGTATCCAGAACATGAGGCTCTGATACCATGTAAAGAACCAATTTAACCCAAAATTTAAGTAGGTTGGTGAGGTTACATATTAATGATTTTACATATCTCTAACAAAAAGGGAGTTCCATGTTAGTGTCTCTCTCTTAAATGTTTGTCTATAAGGTTCGTTTTTTCTGCAGTAAGCCCAATACGACGTCGTTTTGGGACGGAAATCATAGTGTATTTGTAATTTAATTTATTTCAGGGTTATAATAGTCTTTATATTTACAATTTTTTAAGATTTCAATATCAAAACGACGTCGTTTTGAGAATAAATGCAGATAACTTATATGCATTAACTGCAGAAACATTTTTCCCTTGTCTATATTGAGAAAGGGAAAAATGTTTATCCTTTTAAATGACATAACTTATATCCTTTCACTCTCACAAAGAGGTGGGACCCACACCTTTATTTTTTTTGTCAACTCTCTTTCCTTCTTTATCTATTTCTTTATCTCTCTTCAAATGACATAATTTTACATCCTTTAAAATGACACACACTTTTCCAATTGAGAAATGATTTTCTGATATTAAAAACAATGATGAATCCATTGTTGCTATGGAAATTTGACTTATCTCCCCTCACTTCTCACCCACAAGGATTTTCAGAATCATTGGTGTTTGCGTGGTTGGAGGATTTTGTCTATGCCCCAAACATTTATTTTCTTCTCCACACATTTAAAACCTTTCTCAAGTCCATTTCAAACTCTCAAATGTTTTGCCTGTGTTCCTCAACAAAGCATAGTATTACAAATGTCAGGTTAATTCTTCCCATCATTAAGACACTAGTTCATTTGTTGGGGGTGTTTCTCTATTTAATATTTGATGGCTAAGCATGCACTTCATTTATGGGTGCATAGCTCAATATCTGTTCAACTATCTCAATGAATGTTGTCCCAAGACTTTAGAATAAAGTGTAGGATTTCCCTTCACTTATATAAGCCTAAGAAAACATTTGTAAATGAGTTAGTCATTTTGAGAGTTTAGCTAAACATATTTTGAGTGTGAGAATTCTCTGAGGAGAAGTTTGAGTGAGAGACATCTTTAGAGAAGATCTTTGTAACTACCTTTATTGATGAAGCTTGAGTGTATCTTTAATGGGACTAAAGAAATTTTATCTCTTTGTAATTTTACTATTTCATAGTGGAAGATTTTCTGAACTAGTGTTCCGTGGTTTTTATTCTTGTGCCTTAGGAGAGATTTTCCACATTAAAATTAGTTGTATCTTGCTCATCATCTTTTGTCTTTTACATTTTCTTGTTTATACTGTTTTAGACCGATTGGTGACAATTGATCATTTATATGTGTTGACTAACTGGTAATACTGAATTACTAATTGATAAGTTGGAAGACTTCACACCCGTCTGATTGTGTGTGTACCAGGCGGTAAAGCTTGTAGTGCAGACCAGGTTGTTTTACCGGACGGTAAGATTGAATTGTCGTGCTAGTTGTGCCGCCGAGCAGCAAACACTTCCGTGTGGATCATTTGAGGGACCCCATCCCAATAAGTTTATCCAAATACTTCGAAGATACTTGATTGAAAACCCACACAGCACGCATGGAGTATGATAATCTTTAGCTTTCATTGGAAAAGTTATACATGATGTGAGACATGAGCGAATATAATTGCTTCAGGGTTCCACTTCCTTTAAGTCTAAAGCCAAATGGTATGTCTCTTTTTCCATAAAATTTATGAGGGAAATGAATTTTGCAATTGTGGCAGAAATTATTAATCTGCCAGAGTCTTTTTTTTTCCTAAGATAATTTCATATTATATATTTTTTACATTTGAGATTTTAAAACTAATTTAATATAACTGAGTTTTAAACTATATTATACAAAATCTAATAATACCTAAAATCCCTAGTATTATTATCTACCGAAAAAATCCCTAGTAATAAAAAAATGAGCGTAAATGCAAATAAATATATATATAAACAGCATTGATGGGCACTTTCCCTCCATAATAATATAGATTATCATTATACAGTCATTGATGGGCTGTGAAGATGAGAGGCTACTTAAAATTTGATGACCGAATTGACCAAAACAAATTTTTTGGTGATTAATTGGGTAAATGCTCCATTGGGGCACTTCTGCCTTTGCACTTGCTTCATTCCAGAAACTAAATGATTGTTCTTGGGACTTCAGTACTTACTAATTATTGTTATCTTTCTTTTCCAATATATATATATATATATATATATATATATATATATATATATATATATATATGGACTTATCATTTCTTAAGTTGCCGAAGATAACTTCATCTTCGCTACTAAATCAAAATCATACAAAGATGAATCAATGGTGATAAAAGAAGAGAAAAAAAAAAATCATAATCATTCAAAGGTGAATCAATTAATATAAGGAAACAAATAAACAAAACGACATCGTTTTGGAGTGGCCGGAGATAAACTTATCTCAAGTTGTCAGAGAAATATTTTTTCACACACACACACATATATATATATATATATATATATATATATCGATGACCCATGTTAATTATTATCAAGTCACACATGAGTTTGATTAACTAAAACCAAATCATACCCCACCATCTATTTATAAGCTCCACCACCATAATTGTGTGTGCCCTTTTCGTCAGTACCACTAAATAGGAACACACCCGCACACACAAAAAAACGCTAATGAGAATAATGAAACGTGTTAATATTCACTATCAAACATGAAATCATGAGAGTGGTGAAGATAATCTTTAATTGTGGGCTACATAAAACTTTATTAATGAAAAATTTGTAATTAATCTAAAATATTGTTTTTAGTGTACTGAGAGAAAATTAAAGTACTTAGAATATCACATTAATTGAACTTTTCAATTTCATATGAATAAAGTCGAGCAATTGTACAACTTGAGATATTGGACTCCAAGAACTGAAGCAAATGTATAACTGGATAGTGGATGGATCAACCCAAGCCTCTTGGGCTCAAGGCCCATAAATCCGTAGCGTCGTTACTTAGTGCGGATCCAAAAAATAAAAAAAGCCTGATGAGTGATGAATGAAGATATTTTAATTATCCCGTTATCATTTTTTATAAACATTATATAATTCTCTTAATCTAAATATAAGAATTTTACTCTTCCTTTCATTTCCCTTAAAAAAAAAACTCTTCATCTAAACATATCTTATGTAAAGTCATATTCACTTCATTTTTTTGGGGTGAAAATATTCGCTTTATTTTAAATTTTTTATGAGTGTCTGATCGTGTGACAAATATAATATTTTCATATTCTGTCGTATATGCCAAATTAACTAAGGGAAATAGAGAAAATAAAATTATAAAGACAATAATGGATCAGATATGATACTAAAGAGGCGCGGTTTTGGAAAGAAAGAGATATATGAGGAAAATGCTTCTCATTTTTTCATTGAAAAGAAAGGGATGGAAAGGAATCTCATCATCCACGGCAAAGTCATGCAAAAGGAATACATAACTTTAGCTTTCTGAAATGAAATCCCACAATAGCATGAGCATCACATTTCGGCTGATTTGCTGTTGCAAGATATTTATACACATCGCGTAGCGGTTTCTCAGCAAATTTCACGATACCCACTTTAGTCCTTAGCAAATAAAAAAGTTATTTGTGGTTCTTAAGAAATTCAAAATGAACTCATTTAGTTGAAATCGTGATCCCGCACAAATTCAATAAAGATCGATATTAGTTCCCAAAAGGACTAAAATAGGTCCACTTTGAATTTCTTAGAGACCACAAATATTTTTTTTATTTGCTAGGGACTAAAGCGGACATCATAAGATTTGCTGATGACCGAAAAAGGTATTTACTCTATTTTATATATATATATATATATATATATATATATATATATATATATGAACAAGATGAATTTATATCGGTGTAAAAATAATAAATATTATATTCAATATTACCTGTTGATTTCCATCCATCAAACTATTGTAATTGATTGAATTATTTTCATTAATTAATTATTATTACCTAATATATTATAACCGTCATATATATAATTAATTGAATTATTTTCATTAATTAATTATTCTTAATAGCAGATATGACCAGGCTGCTATCAGTTATTAAATTCTAATGGATAATCAGAAGTTACGGTACATTTTAAATAGATACCCATGGTAACTTGTCGAGATAGATAGATAATAATATTCTTTTAACACATTACTATATGAGTGCCCCTGATGCAGAGTGAAATTATGGAACTGGAACCATTACTTATGATTCCTATAGCTTTTAACCAAAATGATGATGTGGTTCACCCTCAAGCGACTTGTATAAAATCTAACTAGTTACTATATTATATATAAGCAATGAAAAGGCTGAATTAACTCCCCCATACAGGGATGTTTTAGCTTGCATTACTCATTAATATGTTGATTACAATGCTTCAACATCCATTAATTGCCTCCCAAGTCCCCAATGTTGTGATGATTTCATTAGGGAAAATATTTTTTATTTTTATTTTTTTTGGGTAAATGATTTTGATTGTAATAATGGTAAAGTATAGGGCAAGTTATGTTAGCTGCAACTGAAGTCCACGAATTTTGCATGCTGTGATGCTTCAAAAATAGGATGGGGGACCCCACTGATGACTACTACACTTATAGGAACTAATTAAAAAAATAAATATGAAATTGGAAAGATCAAGGTAGTTTAAAAAATTGTTTTATGATTCTTCTTGTTTGCAGTAATTTGTAGACAGTGAGGTACTGTTGTCTGATTTTGATTTTGGAATTCTTCTTCTTAGCTGTTATATTAAATTAAATTAAGAATTAAATATTTTTTTTATTTTTAATATTAATTTTAATGAGAAAGCAAGTATGGGGGAGAGAATCTAGAGAGCGTGACCAGGACATGCATATTTTCTCATGCTGCTAAGAGAAAATCCAAAATAACCAAAATAACAAACATAAATGAGAAAGAGACGAGGATGTTGACAACTTTAATGTCCCTTCTAATGTAAGCTTCGTTTGGTTCCGTGGATTTTATTTTTGGGATCTTTCTTTCTCTCTCTCTCTCTTTCTCTTTCTCTTTCTCTCTCTGAAATCTTCATTGAGAGAATGGCCCATCACTGCAGATCCAAATCCCCATTTTATCTGCTTTTCATGGTTCCTTCCCAGAAGAAAAAAATCACTTTTTGATTTCTGAGCTCTTCTGGGTCGCTTCGTTTTTGGACTTGGATATTTTTATGGGTTTCTTCTTTTGGTTTTGTTTATCTGCTTCGTTCTGCAATATAGCAATTGTCCACTCACAATGAGTGTAGACTCCAGTTTTCTTCATCGGGTTAGCTTAATTCGTTTCTGTTTATATCATGCATGCACAGCATTTCCCTAATGATTTTTTTATCTTTGTTATTATTATTATTATTGTTATATTATTTGTTTTCCTCTCTTTACTCCACTGATTTTGGTCGCCCAAGTGGTATCAGTTATTGTGGTTGAGCTTAATTGTTTTCATCGATTCCTTTATCACTTTGGAAGGACGGTTTCAATTTCTATGTATACCACTCACTGCTTAATGTATTTGGCTTTTGTTTGCTTGCTTGCTTGTTTCTTTCTTTCTTTCTTTGTTTTTTCTACTCCCATAGTTGGCCCTCTCACTTTTTGGGGATGTCCAATGATTTTGATTGAACTTCTTCCAGTTTCTGGCAACAACATATATTGCCAAATCCTTTTCTTAGTTTTCGAGAATAAGTACTAGCTTTTACTTTTACTTTTACCTTTTCTTTTCTTTTCTTTTTTTAATTTTTCTTCCCCTTGCTTGATTATTGTGATGGATTTGATTTGATACTGTTGTCTTGGACATCTGATTCTTATTTCAGAGACTTTTCTGTTGGTTTAATAGCATTTGGCCTAATTCTATCCTAGGCCAAATCTTTGTGTTAGGACATAGGAAAAATATCTCGTTATATGTTGAATCTTGGAATAATTTAAAGGATCTTATATGATTAGTTGGGAATAGTTCCCTTATTTTTGGAGCTCAATTGTTCTTTTAATATGCATAAATATAACCTTATTTTTTATTTCGATGCAGGTTTTCTTTCCTTTGGAATTGAGGGTACTATGCTCTATCCTGTTTAATTGAAACCTCTACATTATCATTTACATTATTGAGAATGGGTGCAAATGTGCAATGCAATGGTTATTTTCCGGGATATTATTCAACAAGGGATCTCATCTTTGACTCTGAAGGCAGCATATGGACCTCATCTAATGTTAATAGTGAACTAAGGAATGACTGCTACCACATGGTTTCCATGCCTGTTTCATCATCACCTTGTAACCTTTTAGGCTACAACAAAGAACTTCTTAAACAGACAATTCTCAAGCATGAAGCCATTTTTAGGGACCAAGTATGTTAACTTCATGATTTCTAATCTTAGATCAAATTCTTCCTCTGTGTTTCCTGTCTAGTTCGTTTTCTGCCAAAAAACTGCCATGAACAACTTTTTTTGAATTTTTATTCAAAAGCATGATTTATGGTGTAATTTACTTAAGCCTTCATATTCTAGTTTTTATCAAACATAGATTAAAGATGTTTTAAGATATTTTGGTTGCAGATATCTTGAAGTTGTCTAAAGACTAGACTCTATGATGCATTGAGATGGCAGAGAAGAGTCCTCAATGCAATCTTTTAGGGTTTGAGGTGGTTGCTTTTAGAAGAAATGTATTGAGTTGGATTTTCAATATGTGTAGATGAATAAAATGTATAAAATTATTGTCTTATACGTTAAAGTAATGATTATACTATGAATAAACAGTAAGGAGCGAAAAGGAAACCTTATTTAGTCCAATCAAATTGATTTTGAAAACTAATTAATTCTTTTTGTTACCATTCTTAGTTCCTTGCTTATGGTAGTTATTTATTTCTGAAAATGTGGCTCTCTATTATTATTGGATACTCTCCAATTGCTTAACTAATTTTAAGTCTCTGAACTGTGCATTGCTCTTCAGATTCATGAGCTCCACCGGGTTTACCACAAACAGAGGGAATTAATGGATGAAATTAAAAGGAATGAATCGTATAACCATAATTTAAGGTTGGAGGCATCACGGTCAAGTTCTGCCCAACAGATATGTTGCTCACCAAATTTTCCCTGGTCAATTGCTCAATCATCTGTTTTAATTGCTGAAAGTGTCCAGTTGCCACTGGCTTCTGCTGAAGAAAAGAGAAGGCAAATATGTCCTGCTCCTGCTCATGCTTCAACTGTAACTGAAGAATCTTTAAAAGATTCTAAACTGTTGGAGTCCAAGTACAGAAAAGTTGGTAAAAAAATATTGGATCTTCAACTTCCTGCTGATGAGTACATTGATAGTGAAGAATGTGAAGAAAATGAAAGGGTTACTGTAGTGGCCCAGGTGTCAGCTTATTCTTTAAATGGAATTTCTCAGGTTGTGAGTGACAGTCATGAGAAACCATATGGAACTAATTCTAAGGGTTACACTGACTTAAATGTACCATTTAAGCTTAAAGAAGAGGCAGCTGCAAAGCCTTATGATTTGGGCCCCCCAACACATCATAGGAACAATCCCTTTTATGATCTGTCAAGGAGAACAGAACTGGGATCTCAAAATTTTCCCAATGATGTCATCCAGCATTTGAACAAGAGACAGGATCTTGAAGCTTGCTCACATAACCCATTACCATACCATGAGAAGAAACATGAATGGCTGTCCTCACGTAATAGTACTGGTAAGACCTTGTATCCTAGATTGTATTGAAGTTATATACTCTTTTATTTTTAGATTTGTCAACTGCTTAATTTAGTCAGTTCATATACTTGTACAATTATAACTTTGAATGATAAATCATTCATTTTTCAGGGCATAGTGGTGGTTTATCGGATTGTTTTCCCAAAGTCGTCTATACAGACAAGCAATCTGTTTCAGTCGATTCATTAAGTAAGAATATGGAACAATTCAATGACATTCCATATTTTCATTCATTATATCAAATCAACCGAGGACCTTGGACAGAGAGAAAATTTTCTAGCAGTGAGAGCTCTACACAAACTCAAGGTTGCACCAGTAGTGGCTTGCTTGAACCAAACAGTGCATCACGTAGATGTGCTCTATATCAGAATGTTTCTGGGGCTGATATGATAGGTTCTGAGATTTCCCCAGCAGAGTTATGGAAAACACCTGTATCTGACTTTGGCCAAAGCCTGCTAGCAGTTCAAGCATCTTCTGCATCATTGGGTCAAAGTTCTAAATCATTGATGGGAATTTCTGGGTTCACTACAGGTGATCTTTATCAGTGTACAAGTGTTAAATCTGGCCCCAATTTAGATGGCCAAAACTATCTTCTGAGCAGCAGCCTTTGCAATAGGTCCAAGCTGTTGGATCTTCCCTCGATTAGTACTAATGATCCAAACAACTGTGACAATCTTGGTTCATCACATAGCCATGAGCTTAGGAAGTTTGTTAAAGGTTCTGAAGATGTGGGGACTCCCAAGAACCTAAACCTGAATATTATGCCTGCTGGTTATTCTGATACAACAGCATTACAAAGCTTTCAGATTACAGGTGAAGAAAATAAATTTCAGGATTCAACGAGGGGGTTGCCTTGGCTTAAAGAAAAACTTAAAGGCAAAGGAAAACCCAATGAAGTAAGTAAAATCTCAACCCAGATTGAATCTGTCTTTTTAAATCCTTATAATACAGAAGGTATACATTGTTTGAAGTTAAAGAAGATTGAGGAAAGAAACTTGAGCACAGAGAAGACTCTTGCATTTCACAGTAATGGAAAGGCTCATATGTCAACTGATCCGGAATCTTTTCAAGTCTTCCCCTCTGAAGTCTTCCAGAACCAATCCAAAAATCAAAGGATTGAAGAAATTGAGAAAGGCAGCATATCTGATGTAAAGTCACCTTGTATTCATGCGCCTGACTTGGCGGAACAGATACCTGCTGTTGAGCATTTGATGAAGAATGAGCAGAAGAAACATGAATCTTTTGCAGGTATTATTGACCTGAATTCACGCATGATTGAGGATGAGAATATGCCAGTGGATGTTGATTTTCGCGCACCAGTGAGTCCAGAGAACAAGGAATGCTCGCCACCTAGAGGAGAATCCGATGAAAACCAGCTTGAGATGCCCTGTCAATTGGTGGAACAAGAGGATCCAGAAGTGCGAGAGGAGAAAATCAGAATTGCAGCAGAGGCGTTGGTTTCCATATCAGGATTGGTGGCCCGTAAAGATCTCCAAATGACAACTTGTTCATCATCTGACTCTTTTGTCAGTAGTCCTCTTCACTGGTTTGCTGGAATTGTTTCCACAACAGTGGATCATCCAGAGAATGAGATTAAGGCTAATGATCTTGAGGAGTTGCTGCCTGCTGGAATTGATTACTTCGAGTTCATGACCTTAAAGTTGACTGAGACAAAGGTCCTAGATTGCTGCTATAAGAGTATGGGCCAAACTGAGCAAGTGGGTGGATCAACATCCCCAACTCAGCCAAGGAAGTGCCGGGCCAACAGGGGGAGGTGGCGGAAGGACTTTCAAAGGGAAATCCTCCCAAGCCTTGCTTCTTTGTCAAGGTATGAGGTGACTGAGGATCTTCACACCATTGGAGGCCTTGTAGCTGCTGGTACTCGCTCAGAAACAGGCTCTCTAAGAACTGCAGGTAGAAATGTATTGGGTAGGGGGAAGAGAAGATCATGTGCTTCAACTTCTAACATCACAGACTTGCTGTTGAACTTGAAAAAGCTAACTAGTATCACTGAAGTGGGCATTGAGAGAAGGGGCCTAATAAGTTGGGGAAAAACATGTAGAAAGCGAAGGGGACAGAGATTTCCCACCACTAATCCCAAGTTTATTTTGAGTCCAAGTATATAACTTGTTCCAAGACTATGTTCATGGATTTTGGATGAGGTTTTTATTGAATATAGGATGGTCTTGTAAATGTCCTTGTATACAATAATAGGAGTATAGTAACTGAAGGATAGAAAAAGGACTCTAATATATATTCTGTTTGTTTCTTGGGATTGAATCTATTCTCTCCTGCCATGCTGGAGATGGAATAGCTTTTATTTCTTTGTTGCCAAACATAGATGAAGAAAAAAACAAAGTCATCTTTTTACTTTCCTTTTTTCTTTCTTTTTTTTTTTCTTTTTAGAGTTAAGGTGTGTTTAATAATACCCGTGAGGCGTACAGGTACCGGTACATTTTTATTACCAACATTTGAATTGAATTTCCAAACATCTTAAAGATATGTTACACTATTTAATTCAAGCACATTCATTTTTTTTTTCTTGTTTAATTTCAAACAATTAGAATATGGTTGTTCCATTATGAATATAGTTACTTGAACAATCACATTTACTTAATCATACACTGTATTCATTAGATAAACAAAACTTAAATTTTGTAATGAAGTCTCTAAGTTAAATTTTATTGATCTCTTTCGTTCATACTTCGTTTGGACTCTTGACATTTTATCAAGTTAATATAATTTTCGAATATTTTTTCAGATTCGACATAATTTATAAATGGCAATTTGTATTCAACAAGTACTGTTAAAAGACATGTTTGTTCAGGATCATTATGAACACCAACGTCCCGTGGCACATTTGTCCATAGTATTGGTGCGTTCTTTTTTGGTGTTGAAAGGAAGTAAATGTAATCCTCCGCTCAGTGAACAAGGTATAATAAATTTTGCAATTAAAAGCATATACTAAATATTTCTACCAAAAAAAAAAAGCATATACTAAATATGTTATAATAAATTTACATAATTTCTAGTTTAAGTTTTATGAGGTATATTCAACTTGTTTATTTGCTTATTTTTGCTATATAAGAGGTATAAATAGTGAGGTATGAATAAAACAAAAAAAGTTGTAAAGGATTAATAAAACCTTTAACTAAGTTTTAAGGATTAAGCTAGTGTTAATTAATATGCAAGTTTGTTGAAAATTCAACTCAATCATACCTGATTTAATAATTCACAATGTTGATAGGTTGATTGAGCAAGGTATACTATTTGTGGTAACTACTTCGGTTAATATATTATTAGTGCGGAACTAAAAGAATCTGATATATCATAATTCATAAGGTAGCTATTTGATGGAGACAGGAAATCCAACCTACCAAACTAGTGGCTAGTACTGTACCAGAAGTCCTAAACCTTATTCTTGCCTAAGCTGTAGGCGGCGCTAGGCTAAATTATTGAAAACTTTTATAAGATTATTTTTAAAATTATTTATTAATTAAATTAATAAGTTTTGCAGGTGATTTTTTTTTTTTTTTAAAAAGAGAGTCTCTCTTAATAATTTAGGATAATATTTGACTACGTATCATACTCATTCATAATATAAATATAAAAATATCCTTAATAAGTGAGATATGTAATTAAATATTAATCATTAATTCTTCAAAGTAGTAATATTCTATTAAAAACAAAAATATTGAAGAAATTTCTTTAAAAAATTTCATAAGTAAATGCTATTAGCAAGGATTTGTGAAATGGTACGAGATATTTTTCGGCAACCCTAATTTGTTTATTTAAGATTTACCATCACTAATTATGAAAACAAAAAAAATTACAAACTCTAATATTAAAAATATATATAAATTCAATATCAAATAATTATAAATTAAATCTTAAGTGATTATGAATCAAAATTATCTTTAAATATTAATTCGTTGATTTATTCATTAAGTTAAGACACTAAGCAATCGGTTCTGTTATTTACTGTCCAAGTAAGTCAATCAAAATCTCCATGCACCATTTAGGATTTGATTTATAATCAATTAAGATTTTTTTTTATATTTTCAATAATAAAATTATAATTTTCTGTTTCCATAATAATTGATTATAAATATTAGATAAATGAAATGAGATTATTGAGGAATTTTCACATCATTTTACAAATATTTATTAGTTGGCGGGCTAAATGGACACGCATGTATAATGCAACTTTGCACACCAATAACTTTTTGTCTTAAACAAAACTATTTCTTATGTACTTTCATTGGCGCAATGGTTTGTCCCAACTCCCTACTCTCAAGTACTCCTAATTTCTTTGTATTTGATTTATTCGAGTGTAAAGTCTACTACCAGTGTCATTTGATTCTCACACAGCAAAAAAGGACAAGTTATAGTCATAAAAGAAAGATAATTTAAATAATATAAACATAATGAAGGTTATACTTAATTACAACATATTTTCATTTACGACTTTTTACAATTATATCTTAATCGTTGATTTTCGTCAATCAACGGTTATTATTTATTGTGAATTAATAATTAATTAATGAGTTTGATTTGTGAAAATAATAACTGTTAATTGATGAAAATCAACGGATGGTTAAGATATGATTGTAAGAGATTGTAAATAAAAATAAATTATAAGTATAATTTTCTTCTACAAACATAAGTTAAAAAAAAAAAAGTTTTAAAGGTCATGTCCCTACAACAATTAGATGAAGCGTCATTATACTGTATTTTCATACTTGTGATCAACACTAGAGTAAGAGTTACTTTAGCTTTTTGGGTGATATGTTTGTAACATAATTAAATCTTCTCTACTCTAGTCTTTCTTTTCTTTTTTTTTGTCCTTTTTTCCCTTTCTTTTCCAATTAACTATCGATACAAATGAGTTTTAAAAAAAAAAAGTTTATTTCTCAATTCATAGAACCTTCCCTTTTAATTGATAATTTTGTATGCTGAGTTATTAGCTTTTAATTAGAAAAATAGAACAAAAACAGGAAAACAATGCATGATATTTGAATCTTATTATAATAGGACATTAGTTTGAAATTTCATAAAATGTGAAGCATACGTAAATTTGTGTATATCATATTATGGTCCATGGACAAGTGATTTTTTTTTTAAAATTTATTATCCATGATTATCACTTATACTTTGTTCCACTAAATACAGAGAACACTAATCACTATATGTCGAGAATTCAAATTCGAAGTTAAGAACGAAGTGTGCCTTTTGGATAAACTTTAAAAGAAAATTCTTTTATCATATAATTTTTTATAAGATGCTCTTCTTAAATTCTAATAGAAGTTCTAATTTATTTAAAGATTTTTAATTTTTTAATTTTTTAATTTTTATGAAAAATATTAAACATGTTTATTAATTAAAAATGTTTTTCTAAAAAAACTTAAATAAATGGACTAGCAAATATATTTGATGCTCTACACATGGAGAAAATTAGAGGTACAATTTTAGAACAATACACCAACGCAGCGCAAAACGTTGGTATATGTATCAACCCATATTTGTGTTTATATTATATATTTTTTTGGAGATATGTTTATATTATATTTATTTCAACCAAAAATTGACCAAAAAATAAAAATCATATCATATTTATGTTGTTAGGAGATTCGTGTTCGTATCTATATATAATTGATATATTTAAATAAACGGAAAAGTAATTATTTATTTAAATCACATGACATGGTATCTTTTTGAGTGAAACATAGTATTTCACTATAATATTTAGTCAATTAAAAAATAAATATTTTGACAAATAAAAAATAATTAATTAAATATTATAGTGAAACATCATAATTTCATTTAAAATGACATGATATTATATCTTTTAAAAAGATAAATATTTTTTCCTTAAATTAAATAATTATATAATTATTTGTGAAAAAAATACTTATTATATTAAAGAATACAATTTTCTATCATTTTAAATGAAACAATTATGTTTTGGCAGTTTTTTACCTTTTCTCTTCTAGAAAGTCCTATCTTTTTCTCTCTTCCTAATTTTGTGGAGTATAGAAAAGGTAAAAAATCACCGGTCGTTTCACTCAAAATGATATAAAATTATGTCATTTAAAATAAAAAATTTTCCATTATCTATTTACCTCCACTAGGAACCATTAAATCATTTATGTAATTTCAATTGAAAAAATAAAATTTGTAAATTATTCATGTCATACGTACCAAGAACATCAGCGTAGTAAATTGATATTCACGTTACATTCAAGTATTCATTTTCATATCGACTCAAACACAAACCCAAATTTTCATCCCTTACCTAAAACCGAATGTGTTCAAATAACTTATATCTCCTGTTGTTCCTTTATAAATTTTTATTTGTTAATAAAGAGAAATACATGATGAACTTATAAAATGAGAAATAGCTAAACACATTAATCAGTTGAAAAAAAAAATCGTTGTCATGTCATGTTCATATTTTAATATAGTGGCTTGTAATAAACGATACCAAAAATTAATACAATTAAAACTAAATTAAATTGAATACATGTTCTTTATGATTCGATGAAATCACAAAAATGCTTCTGTCATGAGGTTGGGTTCGAGATTTTAAGTATAAACAAAGTAATGTAATTTATAAGGGAAAATTGTCTGTCATTTTAAATGATGTAAAGTTGTGTCATTTTAAGAGAGAGAAAGAGATAGAAAAAGGAAGATAGAGAGTTGACAAAAAAAGTAAAAGTGTGGGTCTCACCTCTTCGTGAGAGTGAAATGATATAAGTTGTATAATTTAAAAGGATAAACATTTTTTCCAATTTATAAACATAATAATAGTTTATTTGAGAATATATATTGTAAAGAACTCTGGGATACACCACCCCAGAAGCTAGCTCAAAGGGTGAGAGTGTCCAAGGCCTTATAAAGGCCACATTAGTTGCCCACACAATCAATGTGAGACTATATATCCCCCTCACGCAAGAGCCCTTTGGGCTAGAAGCGTGGAATTGCACAGGCCCAATAGGATCGAACGTGTGACCCATCCTAAAAGCTAGCTCAAAGGGTGAAAGTGTCTAATGCCTTATAAATGTCACATTAGTTATCCACACAATCAATGTTGGACTATATATCTCAATATATATGAATTAGTTCACGTAGAACATGGACATACGTGAAAAGCATGATATAGAGAAATAATAATATAAAAAAAAGGTGTTAGCTAGATAGATAGAACACTTTGTAACATCCTTTTTATGAACCAGAAAATTTGAACTGTTGACACTAAATGTTTCCAGAAGATTAATTTAGTTTTTTATATGAAAAATGATGAATGTGATATGAAGTGTATACTATATTGTAAAGCTAGCGTTTAATATAATTAGAAAAAGGAAGTGATATAGATGAAAGCTATAAATAGGTAAAAGTTGTTTGCAAAGGAAAAATGGTTAAGATTAAGATAATGGAGGTTGGATTGCATGGTGGATGTAATGATATTGCATGGTTAGGGTGACAGAGTGTTATTCATGGTGGTGGGACTCTCTCTTTCTCTGGTAGGTTACTTTTTGGAAACAAACGAAACGCGTTGGAAAAGCCACCTCACCCCACCTCACCTCACCCAACAAACAACTCAACACCACCCTTTTTTTTTCACTGTCCAATCTCATCTTACTATTCCTCCTCTCACCCAGAATTCCAGATTCCTTTGTTGGCCTCTCTTTCTTGCATCCTTTCTTTTTACACACACAAAAGAAGGTTTGCTTTGAATATATTTTCTATTTGTTTCCTACTTTGTTTTTCCTTTGGTCAATAACATGATAGTTTACCATCATCAATGATAACCGCCATCTCATTAAGGATATGTGGTTATTATATTATAATCTTCATCGTTTATAGGGATTGATTGTTTTCTCGTGTGATCAGATCATAACTACAATGGTTAAAGAGATAATTAATAGGGGTTTGATCAGATAATTCTGTTCTGTTGTTTTACTTTTGGTCTAAAATCTGAATTTGTGATGATATGTATCTGTTTAAGATTTTTTTTTTATTTTTTCAAATCAAAGTTAGTGTTGGTGTTCATTGAAACCATAGTTTGTTGCCTTCACGTGAATGATTCTGTGTTGTTTAGTTTGGAATTTCCTTCAAACTTTATAATATCCTTGAAGTTGTCCAATAATTGGTCAACTGTTTAAAATTTATTTCAAATACTTTTATGGTGTAAAATTTATTATTGAACTGGAAGATAGATATTATATTATGTGCAGTCTCCTAATCATGGAAATGAATGATGGACAAAGGCAGTAATTGATGTAAAACTACGTTTTAAGGTTATTGTCTATCTAGTGGTAGTGTTGGTGAAATCCTTCAAGTTGTGTCACTTTAATGTTCTGTTTCATAAATTCACTCAATCACAGAGAACATAAAGTTTACCAGATAAGCCAACCAATGTCACTGTCTTGGGGGTTGTTCTATTAGAATAACATGCTTATGCTTAGGAGTTTCTTTGCCCTAATTTTTGTATATAAAATCTACATTGATAGGAAGTTATTAAAATAACTATCGTTCCAAGTTTTCAGGTTTGACAAGTGGTGCTCAATAAATGGATCGAATTCTGGTTGGAGACTAGACATGGTATTTGGTGCATATTCAAGTTCTTAATTCTTATTTTTGAAATTTTTAAATGTAGTGTTGTCAATAATATGTGAAAGCTAACTCAGGTTCTGAAATTAGAAGCTTTGCACCATTCCAACCAAATAGATTCCAGAAATAGTTTTACATGTCTCATGTTGTTTTTACCAGCATCCTTCCCTTCCCCCTCTGCCTTGCCTCTAAATCTCTGAAAGGATTCTTATCTGTTGCAGGAGTCTCTGAAATTGTTGCTTCATCCTTGATCAGTGATGGCAGAGGAAACTATTATTGACCAGGATATGCCTGAGACTATTGAGCCTGAAAATGCTGATAAGATAGCAAATCCTAATGAGGGATTAGCCAAGTCCAAGACAATTGAGCCTGAAGATGTTGATGAGAAAGCAAATCCTAATGAGGGATTAGCTAAGTATGAGACAATTGAGACTGAAGATGTTGATGAGAAAGCAAATCCTAATGAGAGATTAACTATAACAAAAGGTCCACCTAAGATTCTTTCGCGTTATCTTAGTGGTCCAAAGGGTTCCTGCCATGATTTATGCAAATATGGCATTCAACATGCTGTTGAAGCTAAACCATGGAGTAGACCAAATAAATGGGTTGCCAAAAGGGAAAGGAAAACCAAAGTTCCAGACGAAAATGTAACTTCTTTGGCAGTGACAAAGAAACCAGGAAGCAGTTCAAAGCCTTCTCTAACTTCAAAAATTGTAAAGCCCAATTGTCCTGTTGACATCAAGGAAGTAACAGATGAAAAAACAGCCACTTCAGAGAAAAATTCACCACCTTTTGAAGAAACAGATGTTTCCATGGAACATTATAGCAGAAACCTAAGCCAAGCAAGTGAGCCATCTTCTCTCCCAGTGCAGGAATGTTCCAAAAGTCAAACAAAAAGGGGAATAGCCAAACACAAAAGTCCTTTAGGTTCATGCAGCAGAAAGGAAACTGAAAGCAGAAGCAAACAGGCAAGGACATCTTCAACTGGAGGCAAGGAAAAATCACTGCCACCAAGTATTCCCTTGCCTTCAAAAAATAATGTCAAGAAACCTTCAAGCTCAAGTGCTAAGACTGCCAAGAACTTAACAGGTGTGTCTTCTCTGAAAAATCATGAGAATGTTGAAGAAGCTAAACCTGAACTAGCCAGCAATGACACTTCTCCAGACAAAATTTTGCACATCATTGAACCTACATCCGCAAATTTATCTGAGGAAACTACTGTGGCTTGTGATGCAACTAAGTTGTCTTCACCCTCACCTTCATCATCAAGGGACAAAAGCTTGAAAAAGACCAATAAGAAAACTGGCAAGTCTGTGGTGTCTGCATCTTCAAGGAAAGGCCTTAGACATGCTGGGAACAATGGCAAGTCTGTGGCACTCTCTCATCTATCCTCAGGGAACACAGGCAAGACAAATATGCAGCATAAAGTGCGTAGTGCTTCACCATCATCATCTATTTCCCCATCCAACTCTTCCATTGGAAAAAAAAATGGTGCTACTTCTAAGTCCAACAATAAAGGACAAGGTGAAAATGTGAAAGTGGGGTACAAAATCAGGCCAAAAAGGAGTGCAATAGTTGGGGTAGCAAATAAAGCTATTCCAGCCTGGAAGTTAACTTTTAGGAGAGGAAAGGTGATTGAAATTCAGCCTCAAAGCAACAATGTTCCAAGGAGACTCAAATTCAAGTCAGCACGCTTGCTTGGTAATGACATCCGGAGAGATATAAATGGTACTAGAAATAGGATCATTAAGAGTAAAGAAGTTGATGATGGTGAGTTAAATGCTGCGAATATCAAATCTGAGAAAGTTTTTGTTCCCAACCTCCAAATTGTGGAAGGAAGTAAAAGGAGAAACGTTGGGAGGAAAGTTGGTGGAGATAGAAGTAAAATAGATGGCTCAAAATCAATACCTGATGAGAAAGTGGTTTTGAGGCATCAAAATGTGGAAGGGAAGAAACAAAACCCACGTTTGTATAATAATGTGATTGAAGAGACTGCAAGCATGCTTGCTGAGCTAAGGAAGAGCAAGGTTAAGGCTCTAGTTGGTGCATTTGAAACAGTGATATCTCTTGATTCTCCTCGAGAGGCCACACCCTCCGAAGTAAGCACACCTTGTTAAGTTACCTCAGGTTTGTTATGTGTTCAACAACATATAACCGTGTTATGTATAGATTGATAACTGTGTTATATATGGGAGAAAAACACAAAAAAGATGTGTTTCTGATAGTGACTTTGGTCATAAGCTTTGGCCTTTGTGAAACTGAAAATGTTTGTTATTGTGGCGTGGGTTTATTAAGCTCAGATTGTTAATGTTGTTTTCCTGTGTTTTACTGTTTCCTTTTTGATGTCATTGAGATTTTATGAATGAGACGTTTGACTGGAATGTGTTAAGCTGTTGGTCGTTACTGATATAACGTTTTTGCTTTAAATTTTCTGGATATATGATATCTCTTTCGCTATAAACATTAGATTTTACATCAATAATCATAACGAAGAAACGCAATATCTGATAACAAAAATATCCTATTAATATATTAATCAGATATATTGCAATTCATATGGCCAATTGATCAGATATCTCGATTTTTACTCGAATAATGCATGTCTTCCAGCCAGAACATTTTGAGTAAGCTATCATTTCATTAAATATGAAATTTAAATACATATACCTGTGATATATAAGAACAGTTTGAGCAACAAAGAAAGATCTCATGTCACTTGTATAAAAATAATCTTAGTTGGAGATGAAATAGTTAAAACAAGCATGACATTTCAGCTATACTGGTTCTATACATGCTGATGATCACTTGACAGAACAGAAACTTCAACCATAAACTGCAGAGGTTCCTTATTCCCTCATAATGGAAGAGTATAATGGCACGTTTACAGGCTGGCTGAGACATGAATTATCTTTTAAATAAAATCCAGTTACATGCATACAAACAACCTACCTCGTAAGCTCTTCTTTACTCTTATGCTTTTCAATCACTGGGAACTCCAAAAAATAAAAATTCCAAGTATTTTATATCAACTAAATCTACAAAATGCCTTGCAAAACTCACCGTGTAAAAAGATTGATATTTCAAAAAGGTTGGTTTGAAGTTCACCAGACAAAGTCCATACCACCATATTTAGCCACAATTACAGTAATGGTAGTTACTGATGGCTATTGTCACTAGCCACTTATCTATTATTTATATATAACAAAAATGCTCAACCCGTACTATGTACATTTCCCAAACCGTTCAATATTTTTGGCTTTGACCAAGAAACGAGCTTTGGTATGTTACTCGAACAGGTTAATCTTCAGAGCCAGCTTTTTGGATGTACATGTGACCGTACTAGCAGTGTGCAACAATTTTCAGTAGCCATGCGTGTGACCATTAGATTTATCAATGAAAATAAGATTACAATGTTTGAACTCAGACTTCATCAACCCCATTGGCAATTTCCACTGAAAAGAACTGCTCTACTTTATCAATGAAGGTGTGAGGAAATCTACAGTGCAACATTAAATGTGAGGTCTCTGAAATAGGTAGATTGTGCTTAGAAGCCGTTTCTTCAGAATTCTTAGTTGCCTTGCTTCTTATTCTGCCATTTTTTGTGCTGTTTCCCAAAGCACCACTCTTTCCCAAGGAAGCCCGAGTGCCTTTGCCATTGGAACGGCTGTTTTTAATAGGAATGTCCACTTGAGACTTTCTAAATTCAGTAACTAATTGATTACATTCACTTGATTCATCTGTTGGAGAATTATCCAAGGCTGAATTAAGTTGAGTTGCTGGAGCAGCATTTCTGCAAGATCTTAGCAAGGAAAGGAGCATGTCAACACTCAGTTCTTGCTGAACTACAAACTTGTTCTGCTCACAACCGTAGCATGCAGCAACTAATGTGCCAGCCAAGATTGGCATCAACTCTGGGTCACTGAAGAAAACGAATGGCAGATCGCATACCTGTCATCATACAGAAGAACATTAGATTATATCAACAAAACTGAACATATAAACCAAAATTTCTTAAATGTTCAGACCTTATGGAGGATGGTGGGACTCTTTCCCCATCGAAGGACAGCTTGATTCCCAGGATGAAACAATGCAAAATGACCGAGAAGAGATAGAGATTCAAGCATAAGTGAACCAACCTGAGAAACAACGCAGATCGTGGCATTAAAGTGTTATTGTAGCTACGTATCCCCCAACAAATTAATTTAAGGCATCTAATACCAATAACGCATGAAGAATAAGGCAAGGTGTTCATCCCTGCTATAAATGCTTCCTACGCACAGCACTCATTAGCACTAACGTTTTTTTTTTCTTTATTTTTTGGGCAAATTATGCTGACCTTCCTAGAGGTTAGATGAAATTACACTGACCTCTCACAATAGTTTTCGAATTTGCATGTATCCCCCTGTTTGTGAGCAGAAGGGGTGCGTGTCCTAAAAATTTATTTTAAGAAAATGGGAGTAATTAAAAAGAAAAGGAAGAGGAATTAGTCAGGTGAAACTTCTAAGTGGAGGTGGTCACTTTAATTACGGAAAATAGAGGGGAAATTAGTGTAATCTTATCACATCTCTGGAGGATAGTATGATTTACCCATTTTTGTTTGGGAAGCTTCCACTCATGAACACCTTGAACACAAATGAGTTACCCTGCCCATGTTGTCTACCCTACACCAACACTAAATGTGAGGTTGAAGATATTTCGTTTTAGAAGGTCCTAGAGTTAGGCAAGCCAAGGTTTCCAAGGCCAAGATAAGCCTTTCATCATTAAAGTATAAAGAATCCCCTTTACGAAATTTTTGAGTCGTTGGTGGCTCACCTGATCATTAGGAGCTTTCCACCTGCTGGCACAATGAGAAAGAAGGAAGCTCATCAAATGGAAAATTTCCATTTTCAGATCTGGCCTAGCCTGTGAGCAAAACAACATAAGTAGGAACATATCAAGCGAGATCAGCACCAGGAAAAATAAAGAGAAGTAAAGACTCTTACCAAATTGAACTTAAATACCTAAGCATTATTAAGTTTAACATACAGCTGCTTTAAATATAGATTATAATCATAAGGGGAATCAGCAAATTTACCAGCATTCGCTGCAAAAATAAAAGATCCAAAAGAGCCACATTGTTCAGCACCTTCAGTACCCCAGCTGCCACCTCTTCAAAATTAGACGGAAGGATAAATGAAGCCTAGAAGAAAATGAAGTTATTCGACTTAGTAAGAACAAAGTAGTAAGAATTTCAACCATGATTTTAAAATCCAATACTTGCAGCTGCTTCAAATTTAACCATATCATTTCTCAAGGGTTAAGGCTAATGACCAACTCAACTTAAAGCAAGACATATTACCAATTCAACTTCTCCAATCATGTATCATACTCTCAGGGAAACAGCAAAGATTAAGTGTCATCATAAAGACAAATTTTAAAATAAAAAATAAAGGAGACCAGAAACTAATCACGAAGTCAAAACAAGGAAAGCCAGCAAACGGTAACTGCTTCACGAATTGTTTTAATTAAAGGTTCCATTAAGTATTTAAAAAGTCCTAGAGACCAAAGGCCAAATTGTGTAAAACACAGAATGCTATTTTTTTTTCCCTCCTAAATAAAAAAAGGCTACGTATTCACTTAAATTGAGATTCAATTTAGAAACTCCTGATAAGTACATCACTACATCCCAAATAAATGGTAGGAGATATGCCGTATTAGATCAATGCCAACAGAATAACGCATGCCCATTCTCAGCTTAATAGTAAACTAACTACTAGTTCTCGACTATTTTGCAGCAAAATGTTTTAACCACAACATATACAAACAATACAATAGAAAATGAAAAAAAGGTATAAAATAATGGCAATGTCAGAAATCTATTGAGTTTTCACAATAAAGATTTTCAACATTAATTATTACAACTTGTATGAATGAATTTGCAGGTTGGAGAAAGCTTACCTGTTCAGAGGATGATCTATTGTTTGCCTGCAGAAGAACAGCAGTCAAAAGAGAAGGGAGACTGACCAATCCTGTTTCTGAAACAGCTGAAAGAAGAAATACTACTGGCTGAGCCAAAATTGATACTTTTTCATTTTTCTGTGCTGTAACATTTATCACCGTATGTCTTTCATCCTTCTGGGGAACAGAAGAATTAGCAATATCCCCACTCTGATTTTTCTTGGATTCATCTAGATCATCTATCTTTTCCGTATCATCATTTTTCAGCTTAACAGAACTATCATGCTCCAATTCACTATCCTTGCCGATAGACATAGATTCATCATTCCTGTTCACCTTTATTATTTCATCCAATGGTCTGTCCTCAGGGACATCAGGTAAAGGCATAACTGAGCTGTCAATGATCACTGATAAGGGACTGTTATCTCCCCAGGAGTTATTCACTACAGAATGTGTAGAATCAGCAAGTTTAGCCCCTTCACTGCCAATTTCCTGCTCCATTGCAACAGGGGAAGATTCCCAGTCAATATAACTCATTTTTCTAGGTCTGGAAGTCAAAACCACCAAAAGTTGTATACTTAAGAGAATAGAGGCAGGAAAAGCTGACCCTTCCATCTGAGGCCTATCATGAAGTGCAAAAAGATCTCTTAACCTGTGAATCACTTGATAGGAAATCAGTAACTCCAGCAAGCCATCCCGCATCTGAAGCTGTCTTTCTTCTGAACTTACATGACCAAAAATTGCAGTAACAGTCAACAAAAAATTATTTAATATTTCAGAAATTGATTCGAAGTTCTCATGGGATGCTTTATTTGATGGCAAACTAAAGTTTCCTGGAATACTTAAAGATGCTGCAATCTTTATATAGTTCTCAAGAGCTGCTGACAGCATCGGGATGATTGGGGGCAAAAAATTCTGTGCAAGGAAATAACTCCTATTTGCAGGTGCAGATAGTACGACTCTCAGAAGTTTTAACAAGTGCAGAGTAACCTGGCATGCTTCAGGTTTTGATATGTGAGAAGCAGGCAGAGCAGAAGCAATAAAATCAAGTAGACCAGCTTGACGAGATGCCTGGAGCTCAGGATCCTTTCCCTCCAAATACTAGAAAGTAATAAATAAATGAACACAAGCACAAGTTTAAAAATTAACTAAAGCAATTGAAAAATTAAAAGATTATTATCCATAAATTCCACCATTCAAAGGGGCATCACACACATGTAAACTGTAAATAAGTCCCAAGAAAAGAGGAATTCGGTTCAACATCTAGTCAGGAACAAGGAGTTGGTTGGACAGTTGTCCATAAAAGTTAATGATCTATAATTTCTGATTAAACAAAAACAAAGACCATATGCAAGCATCAACGAGAAAGGAACATAGTGAAGCTCACCATTAACGAGAAAGAAACAAATACAACAGCAAAAGTAGGAAAATTTTCCAGATGAACTTATTCAATAACTAAACAAGAGCTCTCCAAGAAGGGCTATCTAAATCAGCACAAGATTCATATTTCGAAGTGTAGGAAAAAATTTCAATGCACATAAAACCTTATCTTACAAAGCAACATTCTTAACTTTGAAACAAGATGTTAAAAATTTCTGGATCCAAAGATAAGGAGACATATAATTTCCAGTGAAAGAAAAAAGAACAGTGAAGCTCAGTAATAACTAGAAAGAAACAAATACAACAGCAAGAGTAGGTAATTTTTCCAGAAAAATATTTATTCACTAACTAAACAAGAGCTCTCCAAGAAGGGCTATTTAAAGTAGCACAAGATTCATTATGAATTGTAGGGACAAAAATTAAATGCACATAAAATCTTATCTTAAAAAGCAACATTCTTAACTTTGAAACAAGATGTTTTAAAATTTATGGAGCCAAAGATTAGGGGACATAATATCGTGAACAAAAAAGAATACCTTGATCATTTCTGAAATTATTAGCCCTATACTTGTGGCCCCTTCTTTTCTTGCTTGCCTAAGTTTTTGAAGTTCTTGAAGCCACCGGCCAACTTTTGCCCTAGCAGCACCCACTGCTACTCTATATCCAATGCCAGCACTTTCACCACCAAGAGGGGGCTCAAGAAACTCATACTTCAAAGCCATAAGCCTTTGTCGAATTTTCTTAATTCTTCTCTTTATTGAGTGTTGCAATGTGATATTGCCAATTCCAAGACCAGAACCTACACCAGAGGCAATGTTTGTTTGAGAATCATCACTGCCGTTTGTGGGTGTAGATCTACCTTGCCCATCTTTATTTAATGATCGACGCAGCAAAGGAGATGATTGATCTCTCAAATTTGCTCTCTCCCGAATTTGCTCCAAGTAAATCTTACGACGTTGTTCACTTTCATTAAGTCTCTCTGCCAATTTCTGGGCCAAGAGTTCAGCTTCCTCTTGTTGTGCTTTGGCTCTTTCTTCCTTTCTTCGAAGCTGTTCAATAGCTCTTGCTTCCCGTGCTGCACTTGATGCTTTTCTTTCCTCTTCCCTTCTGACTTGAGCCTCCTCCTTTTTCCGCTGTATCTCAGCAAGACGCTGTAACTTTTCAGCCTCAATGAGTTTTCGGCGCTCTAGGACAGCTTCTTCCCTTGCCAAGTCCTCCTTTTGCTTAGATTTTATCACTTGAAGCTTTTCAGCTCTCCTCAACTCTGACTCATGAAGTTTCTGTCGCAACATAAATTTTTTATTTTCTTCATTCAAGGAAGTAATAAACCGAACCTCATTTACCTTGCTGCTTTCATCACCAGCTCTCTTCACCACTTGAGCTAGAAAAGCTTCATGACGAGATTCACTGCGTTGATGGCGGGCATACATGCCCTCCCGTAACTTCAGATGACGAACAGCATGCCATTCATTGACACGATTTAATTTTTGTGACGTACGTTGAAGCTTTTGAACTCTCTCATTCTCTAACTCACTTCTGATCCTCATAGCACGAGCGTGCTTTTCTTCTGCTTCCTTTTTTAAGTCTGAAGAGGTTTTCTTCTTTTTGTCAGGAGACATCAGTTTATCATGCAGAGTACGTACCCGCTCAGTACTTTTCCTGCTCAGGCTTGGTGAATACGACGTGCGTGAAGAGACACGAAATGGAGATGAAAGTATGTCCTCCCAGTTCCTCTTCTCCTTCCAAGCATTCATGGACTTTCCCGGTGCAGTACTCCTCTTTTCCTTATCTTTTTCAGGCAGTGGTATTTGCCTCCGGATGTTATCTGTGGATCTGGGGTTTTTATCATTAACAACTTCTGTTGGTGGTTTATCTTTCTTAGAAAGAAGCTTGTCAGCTCCAGATCCAAGATGATCTCTTTTACCCTTGGTGGTGGCAAAAGCAGAAGAATTTTCAGAGGGAGGTAGTTTAGATAAATTAACATCCGAAGTTAATAATCTTTCTGGTCTGTTACATCCACCTTGCACCATGATTGAATCACGGGGTTTCCCCCCTTCAATATTATGCTTTTTTTCATTTAGATTCCTTTGGTTAACATCTGAAGATCCAATATGCTTTCTTGACTTTGTCACTGAATCTTTGGCACTGTGAGTGCCATCACTGATCCTAGATTTTTTCGCATTGCAAACAGATTCAGAAGTTGAACATTTAGACATGGCATTTTCTGTGTTATTAGCTGATTGTAAGCTAGCACGCTCTTGTTGAATCTTTCTAAAAGCCTCAAGAGACGAAGATAGTATATCTGCCCTATGTGGTGAAGTTGTCATCCGTCGGACCTAGAATCAGATAAAAGCAACTGAACTTCTGAAGCATAAGAAAGCCAGATTGTACACATTTCTAACACGTAATATTCATAATGCCATATGTGAAGTCAAGGACCAGCATCTTGGAAACCATAAAATAAGCAAGCAAACAAGTATAGACCATAAAGTGGTTGCATGCTCAAATGTATGTTTTATTTATATATTTTTTCTGTCAGAGTCTGAGATGGGAAGATGAACCAATGGCTGTTAGTCTAAACTACAACAATGTTTAATAGCACTCATGGTTCAGTAAATCCAGTTGGAATGACATGAATTAAATCATGTATAAGTTATAAAATAAAAGAAAAAAAAAAACAAATAATATCCAATGGTGGGTGAGATGATCTTGTTCCATAGTGTTCGGCTAGTAAGTTAACACTTGTTTGATTTGATCCTAACATCTCTATACTTATCATACAAAGGAGAGATTCCAAATATACATACACTCACCACAAAGCTACACATTTATGCAAAGATACAGATTCATCACAGAAAATTCTATCCCTCTGAAATATACCACATAGGGCAAAAAGGAATAAACTTGTCTATCAAATTACCATAATCAACTTCAATCAAAGAAAAATAGAATGGAAAAGAAAAGAGACTGTGCATATATCATGTTGTTAGAGTGTAATATAAATCATTAAAAAGACCCTCACCCAACACCTTAAGGTTTTGGGTTGAAGTGGTTCTTTACATGGTATCAGAGCTTCCTTGACCACAAGGTCACGAGTTCGATCCTCACCGCCCCCCACTTGTAGAATTAAATAAGCATAAGGTAAAACCAAAAATTGGGCCTATGCAATAATCCACCCTTCAAGCCCAAAGGGCTCTTGCGTGAGGGGGTGTGTTAGAGTGTAATATAAATCATTAAAAAGACTCTCACCCAACACCTTAAGGTTTTGGGTTGAAGTGGTTCTTTACACATGTCACTCAATGAATGATTATTCCCCATCTGCATAAGTGTACATGCATATTACACTCACATTGCCCCTCACATTCAATGATAGTGAGTGCAATTATCTTTAGGTTTCATCCTTTCTGAAAGTTGGAAGACCAATCAGCTTATCAAACCTTTGCTTAACATAACACAGGCAAAATAGAGACATTGCTTTTCAAAAAAATGGTGAATTCTATATTAATGAATAAATTTTTTTTCTTTAGCAGGGGGTCCATAGTTGTCACTTGTCAGGCACAACCTATAAAATTTATGAAAGGCTCATTGTAGCATCTTGGAAGTTGGAACCACAAAATATAAACCTGAACAATGGATGGAAACAGACTAATAGCAACAGTATGTGATCAAGCATACCATACCTCCCATGAGAGAGCATGTGGCCTGCGATGATCACTCTTCAAGATGACAGGAACTCCATCAATTATTTGTGAAGACTTTTTAACCTTTTCAAATTCCTCAACTCTGGTTATTAGCTCTCTAAAATCAGATGCTGCCTCCTCAAGAACAAGAATTGCCTCTTTCATCTGTGTCAAATCACATTCTAGTTCACAAAGAAGATAAAGTTCATCAACAGACCTATTAAGATTCTCAAATAGAAAGCACCAAAGCCTTTGCCTGAACCTTTCTTTGCTTTCATTTGAATCACCTTCTTCAGGAGCACCCATATTATGAGAGCTCGAAACAACATTTTCCAAATTACCATCCTGTGGACCCCTAAGCTCTTCAACAGAAGCTGCAGAATCACTGCCAATTTTAGGTTCTTCTGACTCAGTACCCTGGACAGTAACTTTTTTGCTTAAGCTGCAATTTTGTTCTGGCACTTCAGAAATTTTGATATCACTTACCACATTGATAGGAGCATCTGCCTCATTTGCAATCATCGCAGCATCTTTTGCAGGCAAAAAGTCATTGTTAATGCCCTTATCATTTGCTGTTTTATTGACTTCATCATTTTTCTTATCGCAATATAAATTATCATCTTCTGGAACAATTGTTTCCCCATTCATTTCTTGATTTTTTAAATGTTCAAAAGATATATTCTTAACATCTTCACCACTCTGTCCAAACATTTCATCCTCACATCTCAATGAAGGGATATGATGAGAAACAATCTCTGCATCAATATCAGTTGCCGTCAACTCTTTTTCTTGGGATTGATATGAAGCACAAGGTAACGCGTCAGAAATATTTTCATGCTTTCTACGGCTAAGCAAACTATCATCTCCAATACTACCAAACTTGATTCCAACTCCAATCAAGTTTTCATGTGGCAGTGCCAAGCCACCCTCCTCACAATCACCCCATCTTGTTTTCGGGGCTATGTCAGCCTTATCAGTTTGGTGTAACTTCCTAACTTCTTCAAGTTCACCTTGAGAATCCGGAGTAAGAAGTGGAGCTGACTTCTGACTTTCAGTATTATGTCTAACCACACTTGGATTAAGATAGCTTGTGCCCTCTTCTTCGTTTGACACAGAAGGAGAACTCATAACACTCACAGGGACAGGGTTCTGTAAAAAATTATCCCCTGACCTCAAAAGATGAGTTTTCTGCTTGCTATGTGAATTGTCATCAGTTTTATTCATGGATTGCTGAGTGCGAGGAGAGTTAGAAGCATTTTTCCCTGCAAATCCTCCCACCCAGCTCTGCAAAGAGAATTTTGAAATATTTCTATGCTTCTGGATAAGAAGGAAACAACATTAATTAGAGCGTGCAATCAATGTAAGTAACCAAATTACAGAAAGTAGGATTAAAGCAAACATATGGATGCTAAAACACTGAGCTTCCTATTGTGAATGAATAATAACTATAGACAAAGTCTACATTTTTCTTCCTCTTGTCTTCAACTTTATCTCTCATTAAGTACTCTTTGGGAAAGGAAAAAAAATAAAATAAGGAGCAATAATAACAATAATAATAACATCGAAGAAAACGGTCATAAATCAAAGATTCATAATAGAATGCATCAACAGTGTTAAAAAAAATTAAAAAAAAAAAAAACCTTTTTGACTTGGAACCATCCTGAGTTCTGATCATCAACTACTTCACCGTCCTCCATCACGAAATGATCAATGCAGTGAGTGATTTACGTTTAGAGAAGTTAACGTTCCATCAAAATTCCCACATGGAGGATACAACATGAAGTTATTGAAATTGATAATCATTGAACTGCTACAGAGAGAAATATCAATTGGGAACGATTTTCAGAGCTAAACTAAAATAGTGAGAGTGAAAAAGACGAACTTGCAAAGAAAGGAAGTGAAAATAGTGAATGGAAAACATAGGAATTTGAAGGGAACTAAGGAGGGGGAAAGGGTTTTTTTTTTTTTTTTTAGGGTTTTGAAGATGATTTATTGAAGGAGCGAAGAGAAAGAGTAGAAAAAGAAACAAAAGGAGGGAATGAGGTTTATAGGTGGGAGTTGAGAACAGCATGCAAGACAAGACTTTGCCTTTTTCTTTCTTTATTTATTTTCCATGTATGGGTCGGTGTTGCTGTACTCTACGCATGTTTGTGTTTTGGTTTACCTTTGAGTGTGTTTTGGTTTAACAAATTAGTAATTAGTATTAGTTAAAAGAGAATTTAACCATCAAAATGTTTATACTTAAAATTAAACTGCCTCAATTTCGTAGAGATAGGTTATTCTACCTATTATTTTTTCTGTCTATCTTTACTTATTACTTTAAAATATCATTAGATCAAAATCTTAACTAATATTTATCTTTCTTTCTTTCTCTTCTTAGAATTTTGATCTAACGGTGTTAAAGAGTAATAGGCAAAGGTAAAAATAATAATAATAATAAGTAGAATATACTATCACAATTTCTTAATCAGAAATTATATTTAGGTTGACTTAGATATGGAAGTGAATTCTCCTATTTATATGGGATATGGTGATTTGGAGAATCTCAATCATTTTTATATAAATTAAGAATGGTGGAGGAATAAATTAAAATTAATAAAGAAAGAAAATAGTCGCTGATTTGTATTTAGAGGATTGATTGAGATCTCATATCAAATACAGGAAAATTTCTATTGTGCAGCGGTTGTATCCACTAGGTACAATTTTTTTTTTAAAGAAGAAAATTTTCTTCCATTTTGATCCATTTTTTTTTCAGTTATTTTCATTTAAATCTCTTTTTTTAGTGCACCAAAAAAAGTGCTCCAAATACAGAATCCACTCCTTTTAGTAATTAAATAATTTTTTTCATAGCAAAAAAGTTTAAATTTGAGAAGGACACGCCTAATCTCATTGATATTTTATGAAGACATTACATATTAACTACCAAAAATAAAAGCATAATAATTGAACCCAAGTCATTGTTTGTTAGCAGTTAGCACTCACCAAATAATTTGCTGCTCTTATATTTTAGTGCAACAATATAAATACATTATCATGTATAGGTGGTGAAGTCCGGTCAAAATAAATAAATTTTGCCCTTAAATATTTTTTATTTAATGTTATGTTTTGTTTAGAGGGCGAACCTATATTGTACTGACATGAAACACGACACGAGACTGCAATATGTTAATTTTAAAAAATATTAAATTTTGACACGTTAAGACATGTTTTGATATTAAATAATATTTTTAATTTATATAATGTATATTATATTTAATATTTAATAATTTAATAAAAAATGAAGTTAAACTTATAATACACATCAATTTTGCAAAGAAACATAAGATATTATAAATAATATTAAACTTAATAAAATGATAATCGTAATCCAACGAATCTAATAGTTTAAACAAAAAACGCAACGCAACTCAACTTTTGAACTCTGCAACGCATGTTGAAATATCGGGGAATGTCAAGAGTGTCAGACACGACACATTAGATTTTTTGAAGTATCGTACATTAGATTAACTATTAATAAGATTGCTCCCACATGGTTAGATGCCATGAAAGATGAGTTGAAATCTATGGAACAGAATAAGGTCTGGGATCTTGTTGAGTTACCAGAAGGGTGCAAGAGAGTTGGTTGTAAATGGGTCTTTAAGACCAAACGTGACTCTCGTGGTAACTTAGAACGTCACAAGGCCAGACTAGTTGCAAAAGGATTCACTAAGAAAAATGACATTGACTATAAAGAAACTTTTTCACCAGTTTCAAAGAAGGATTCTTTAAGAATCACTATGGCATTGGTGGCTCATTATGATCTAGAGTTACACCAAATGGATGTGAAAATTGTCTTTCTAAATGGAAATTTAGATGAAGATGTGTACATGGACCAACCAATGGGGTTCATAGAAAAGGGTAAAGAGCACATGGTGTGCAAACTTAAGAAGTCAATATACGGACATAAACAAGCTTCACGACAATGGTATCTTAAGTTTAATGATACTGTTGTCTCTTTTGGATTTAAAGAAAACATCGTTGATCGATGTATATATCTGAAGATCAGTGGGAGCAAGTTTATCTTATTGATTCTGTATGTTGATGATATTTTGCTTGCAACTAACGATCTTGGTCTTTTAAATGAGACTAAGAAGTTTCTCTCTAGTAATTTCGAAATGAAAGATATGGGTGAGGCAGCTTATGTGATAGGAATAGAAATATTTCGTGATAGATCACAAGGACTGTTAGGTTTGTCTCAGAAAGCATACATTAATAGAGTTCTAGAGAGATTCAGAATGGAAAACTGCTCATCATCTCCAGTTCCAATTCAGAAAGGAGATAAGTTTAGTCGTATGCAATGTCCTAAAAGTGAATTGGAACGAAAAGAAATGGAAACAATTCCGTATGCATCATTAGTTGGGAGCTTAATGTATGCTCAGACTTGTACGAGACCAGATATTAGCTTTGCAGTTGGGATGTTGGATAGATACCAAAGTAATTCCGGTATGGATCATTGGAAAGCTACAAAGAAAGTTCTGAGATATTTGCAAGGAACTAAAGGTCACATGCTTACTTATAGAAGGTCTAACAACCTTGAAGTGATAGGATACACAGATTCAGATTTTACAGGATCCGTAGACACAAGAAAGTCTACATGTGGTTACCTGTATCTTTTAGCTGAAGGAGCTATGTCATGGAAAAGTGCGAAGCAAACTGTAATAGTTGCGTCCACTATGGAAGCTGAATTTGTGGCATGCTTTGAAGCTACGATTCAGGCTAAATGGCTACGGAACTTTATTTCAGGGCTTGGATTGGTCGACAATATTGAAAAACCGCTGAAAATTTATTGTGATAATTCCGTAACAGTCTTCTTTTCTAAAAACGACAAATATTCCAAAGGTGCTAAACATATGGAATTAAAGTACTTTGTCGTTAAAGAAGAGGTTCAGAAACAAAGAGTGTCTATAGAGCATATTAGCACCGATCTTATGATAGCTGATCCCTTGACGAAGGGATTACCGCCCAAGACATTTACTGGTCATGTATGTAGAATGGGTATTATGTCAGCTAGTGAATAATGATAATCATTGTTATGTATTAAGTGTTGACACTCTGAGCTCATTGATGAATGTATGTTTCTGTTATTGTCTTATTTTCAATTTATGAATGCATGCAAATATATGTGATGATATTGAAAATATTTGTGGTCCGTAATGAAGACATTATTGTTGGACATAATGTGTACTTCCTATTAAAGTATCATGTTAGAAAGAAGAGTCAATATAGTAGTACATGAAAGGGACTATGTCGACTTGATAGCATACAACCGCCATGACTCATGTTGATTTTATTTCTAATAATGAATTATGGTGAGACAATGTATGGAACCTTTAGCCTAGTAAATGCGCATTATAATGAACGTTGATTAAATCATGAAGGGACACCTCATGACATGAGTCAAGTGAGAGAATGTAAAACTATTTGTCTCATGAGTAATATTATGTGTCAGTTGGTTTAATTAATAAAAAGGGCATTATGGTAATTGACGGTACAAGGGAGCTAAGGGAGTTATTTATAACTAGTAACTGGTGACATGGTTCAGTTACGTTAAAAGAAACTGGAGTTTTCTCTGATAAAAGGTCTTCAGAATTTCTCTCTATCATTGTCTACCCATAAAGGTGTTGAGATATTCAAGTGTGATGAGTCCCACATTGGTTGGTAATGAGCTAAGTGAAGAGTATATAAGTGAAAGGACCCATGAACCCAATGCCTTAAGGTTTTGGGTTGAGACATGGTGTCAGATCCACTTGCTACGGTTGGTGTAGCCTTAGCTCATTGGTGGTGGCCCCCTGCCACGGGCTTCCCCTAGACTCGCTTGACATTGGAGTTTGAGGGAACGAATTTCCCAACAGTGGTATCAGAGCCGGATTGGGCTCGAGCTAGCCTAGTGATTGGCTAGGAGGCGGGTCAAGTACTTTGCGCTTCGGGTACTCGGTTGAGGGGGAGCATACCAATGGTAGGTTTCACACTTGAGGGAGAGATTGTTGAGATATTCAAGTGTGATGAGTCCCACATTGGTTGGTAATGAACTAAGTGAAGAGTATATAAGTGAAAGGACCCATGAACCCAATGCCTTAAGGTTTTGGGTTGAGACATGGTGTCGGATCCACTTGCTACAGTTGGTGTAGCCTTAGCTCATTGGTGGTGCCCCCGCCATGGGCTTCCCCTGGACCCGCTTGACATTGGAGTTTGAGGGAACGAATTTCCCAACAGTGGTATCAGAGCCGGATTGGGCTCGAGCTAGCCTAGTGATTGGCTAGGAGGCGGGTCAAGTACTTTGCGCTTCGGGTATTCGGTTGAGGGGGAGCATACCAATGGTAGGTTTCACACTTGAGGGAGAGATTGTTGAGATATTCAAGTGTGATGAGTCCCACATTGGTTGGTAATGAACTAAGTGAAGAGTATATAAGTGAAAGGACCCATGAACCCAATGCCTTAAGGTTTTGGGTTGAGACATGGTGTCGGATCCACTTGCTACAGTTGGTGTAGCCTTAGCTCATTGGTGGTGCCCCCGCCATGGGCTTCCCCTGGACCCGCTTGACATTGGAGTTTGAGGGAACGAATTTCCCAACAAAAGGTTGTATCCAATCCCTGTCAAAGAAGATACAAGTATAGAAGAGGGTCAAGACTCTGAGAATAGACGTTCCACCATTTAAAGTTCTTCCGCATTAATGGAGAAAGGTACATCTATGTGAAACTCATAAATTCTAAAGGTCCTCTTTCATGTTCTTGAATGATTATGTTTGAACATGAATGAATGAATTACTGATGAATTGCTAACACATAGTTGTTAAAATCTCGATTTATCACTTCGATTCTACGTTTTTACGAATTTTTTTCATCAAAACGATTTTACCCATATTTCAAACGCTTTTTTCGTTTTTAAGATTTTTTACGATTTTTTTACCTTACGATTTTTCATTTTACGATTTTTAGTCCCCTTCCGATTTTACTTAAAATCTCGATTTTAACAACATTGCAAATAGCAATAGATTATCTATAAAAAAAAATAGCAATAGATTCAGGATGAAACCCATTTTATGTTGCTTCAAATCTGTTGATGATTGTCTAAATTTAAAACTCTACAATTCGAATATGGATTAAAGTTTTCATATTTTATAGCATCTCAAATTAAATCCGTGGAATGGTATACAAAATAACTTCTTTTCAAAATCAATGGAATATAAGAGTCTCTTGCATTGTTATGTAAACTGTCGAATCATATGTTATTATATTTAAGTAAATTATTCTTTGTTAAAATATTAATTTTATTAACTTTTATTTCTAATTTTTCAAATAGATTGATATTATATTTAAAAATGACGAGTGTGGAGTCCTAATAAAATTATTTCTTTGTAACTGAAAGATCACATATTTGAATGTGAAAAATAGTCTCTCTCTCTACAAAAATTACTCTCACTTCTACCCTCATTAGGAGTATTTTTATTTTTTTAATAGATATAACAAGGGACGTAAAGGACACACTTTTGGTTTTGATGTTTTTAGAGTTGTTAAAAAATGTTTTAATAAAAAAAAAATATGACTTCCTAGTGGAGAAATCATGGTACAATTATAATATCATAATCAAAGTTTGTTTAAGACCTAAACTTTTAATATACGAGACGTATTCTTCAATTGTACGAAATTACGACAGTTACATCGAAACATATTTGCAGGGCAAAGTTCAACCAAAATCTAAACCTAATTGACACCTTTTCTTTCACTTCTTAATGAATGAAAATTGAATCATATTAGGTATAAAAAAAAACTATATAATTATATTTAAAAAATATTATCAGATTAATATTATTTTAACATATTTTATTCAACTAATGGAGTTAGTTGCACACACACCTTATATGCAATTAGTTGTGCATGTATCATATGCACAACTTCTATCTAGCAAAGCATGGTGAGTTGTGCAACTAACTGAATTTTGCTATATGGTACCATCGTGTTGCCGGATGTGCAGTTCTCTACTATAATAGTCATAATCTTTTCCTATCTTCTAATTCTCTAATCTCAAAACTTATTTCATAAAGGTGTTGATATTTATGAGATAAAATTATTTTTTATAATCTCAAAATTACATAGTTTTGGGGTTTAGAATAAAAAATAAAGGATATTTTAATAAGATACATGTTACAATAGGATAGTAAAACTTTCAAAATATTTTTTATTTTTTTTTAAATTTCAAAATAATGTTATTTTGGGATTGGGATTGTAGGAAATAATTTTATCTCATGTGATAAAGAAACATTTTTTCTTTATCTAAAATATAATAATCTTTTATTGTGTTCATATCAAAATGAGTTCAAATATACAATTAGTTTGTGTGATATGCTAATAATGGTAGAAAATTTGAAGATCGAGATGGCATGGGATGATATTCGAAGGTATAAAAAGACCAATACGTATTAAACTGGTGAATAAATTGAAGATAATAACGTTGCATACATGATGTAATCAAATTTCACAAGAGATGTGAGGTAGCAAAATCGAGTTAATTGCACCCACATAATGTGCAACTAAATGCACACCAAATTAATTTGTATGCAAATAAATACATTAATTGAATGAGGTATGATATTTTTACTAGTAAATATTTTTAAGTATTTGAAAAGTTTTTGAAGAGAAAGAAGAAAAAAAAAATTAATATATTTCTCCGAATACATAATTATATTAAAATAATAATGGATTAATAGTAAAAATATTTAATAGCAAGAATATTGGGTAAAATATTTCAACTTTTTTTTTGCCATTACATATGCCTTAAACTTTGAGTCAATTGCGGAATACCAAACCCATACGTACGACATTCTTCCTGCCACCAAAAGCAAACAAAAAAAATAAACTCTGCCATGTAAGAAGGTATAACTTCTGCATAAAGTCAAAACAAGGAAGATTCACATAAGCTCTCGTAAAGCCACTCCTCAATCTCCTTTTTTCTTATTTAAATTTTTTTTTTTTTTATCACAAACAATGTATAATTTTCCATGTACAATTTAAAAGAAAAAAGAAAAAAGAAAAAAGAGAATTGACAGTTGCTTGCACCTGTTTCCATTCCAAAACTGATGGTGAGGCTCAACTACTCCAGCATAACGACACCTAATTTTTGAAAGTTTGGAAGCAGCAATGACCTCGTGAGGAAACATCCTCAACTAAATTAATATTAATAAACCTCTGTCTATGTGTGTGTGTGTTAGTGAGTTGTATCTGAGACAGGCCTATCCTATCCAAACTACAATCACCACAATGTTGTCCTTGATCATTCTCAATGCAGGTGTCTCACAATCATTAACCTTCCTATTGGGACAGTGAAAAGCAAAGAAAGTTCCTTCTTTGACACTTGACGATCCAAACAAGGTTCAGAGGTTGGTCCTCTTGTATGTTTTTTTTTTTTTTTACACCGTTTTTTCTCTATCTGGGTGTTCTTCAAGTTTTCTCCTTTCTTTCTTTTTTGCATGCTTTTGCTTTTAATTTTAGTTTTTGTCTTCTGGGTTCGTCTTGTCTTGTGGGAAGATATAGCGTTTTAGCATTCACGGGTGATAGCAGGTGAAAACCAGTTTTCCTTATTAGTTATTTGATCTGTCAATGCTATTAATGATTTATATGAAGGAACTCATTGTTGATGGCATTCGTTTAAATTCTGGTAAGCTGTTATAAAACTGGATAAAAAGCTATAAAACAATTCCTAGTTGGTATGTGTGAAATAAGGAAATTCTAGGTTCTTGAAGTAATGGTTCGAATTCAACCTTACTTTTGTTGTTACTATTCTAAATTCCGCGCTTTTTATGTGTGTCTTCAAGCCTGAAAATATGAAAACACCCCATGATTAATTAATGCAACCTAAAAATGTTAGCACATAGAAAAATTCATGCTCTCTCGCTAAGCAACCCTCGATTTTATTATTCCTTATGTTTATTATTTCTTATGTTTATGCTCAAACTTTGCTAGCCACTGGTATCACAATATTTTTTTTTGGGGGGGGGGGGGGGGGGGGTTTGGATAGTTGTTCATTAGGATTTTTTTATTTAATAAACATTTTCCTTTTTTGCAAGTAATGGGTATAATTATAAGTTTCCAATTTCATTTTCGCTTTTTTATTTTTTTATTTTGTGGTTTCTAATTTAACCTTGGACTAATCATTAGATTGTATCACTTCAGTTAAAAGCTTAATTTCATATCTTCGAACTGTCAGATAAATAAAATTGCAATTATATAGCTTCAAAAGATCTGTGTATAAATTAGAGGGTGTTTGGTTTGTTTTTTTATTTTCATTTTCATCTTATATGCTTTTATTTATAACTGCAAAAATGTCATCTTAGTTTCACCATTTCCTTCATAAAATCATGTAAACAAAATTAAAAAAATATATAGTATTTTTATAATTATTAGTGAAAACATTAGCTAACCTTTTATCCTTTCTACTGCAGCGAATTTGGATAAGTTGAGTAGGGCTTGAATGCTGTTACAAGTGATCTATTAATGGGATTCCACCTTGCCTTGTTTCTTTTCCTGGCTTCTCTTCCTTTGACTTTAACTCAAGATGTTGAAAACGGTTCCATTATAGTAGATGGAACCCAAGCAATTGCTGAAACTGATGATAACTTTATCTGTGCTACTATTGATTGGTGGCCTCATGATAAGTGTGACTACAACTATTGCCCCTGGGGGAATTCTTCTGTCGTAAATTTGGTGAGTAGCACATGAAATAAGCAGAGAGAATTTATATATCCCTTCCACCCCAAATTTTTCATTTAGAACTCTAGAAAGCTTTGAAGCAGTTTTAGTCATTATTCATTGTGGACTGGTTTTTCAGGACTTGTCTCAACCTTTCCTTGCCAAGGCAATCCAAAGTATGTATATTCGCATTATGTATGTCCATATGATTTAGAAAATTAGTTCCTCTGATGGCATTCAACTATTTTGTGGCTTCCTAAAACTGCAATGTATTTTGTATTAGTAGTATCATTTTCAGAATATTTACTTCAAGCATGATGTTATTATTTCCATAATGGTTGCTTGATAGCTTTCAAGCCTTTGAGGATAAGAATTGGAGGTTCTTTGCAAGACCAAGTGCTGTATGAGGTAGGAAGTTTGAAGTCCCCTTGTCATCCATTTCAAAAGATGAAAGGTGGATTGTTTGGATTTTCTACGGGATGTTTACACATGAAAAGGTGGGATGAGCTGAATCAGTTTTTCAATAAGACAGGGTGAGAATTTTAACATTGACATTATTGTTTTCTTCACCACCTTCCTCCCCTTTTCTTTCAATACAAAGATAAAATGAGAAAAATAAAATTAGGTCTCTTATGTAGGGTACTGTAAGTCTGTGTAACAAAGTCATAAGATTCATTTGCTAATGAGTCGCTTGCTATTGGTTTTTTTTTAGCCCTGATAGCAACCACAGGGAAAGCCTGTTTCTGTTTAAAAGTTCATTATAACAACATATGCAACTAGACATATCTTCATTGGTTTAGGAGGTCCCTTTTAGCATACTAATTTTGACTTCTGCATACTTATAAAAGTCTAAGCCTACAAATTTGATACCACATCTTAGACCAAAATTTCAAAACATTGAGTTTGAGTCTTTTTCACTTATATTTTCTTTGCTTAGTCTATTCTTGTCTGGTGCAAAATTTTTATCACTCAAACTTAATTATCAACAGAAATGAGGCAACCTCCCTTCCTCCTAAACTTAGAAGAGAGAGAGAGAGAGAGAGAATGGATCTGATTTGAGATTTTGTCCACATGCATTTTGAATGAGTAGTTTTCATTTAGTGTGTGTGTGTGTGTGTGTGTGTGAGTAATTTAACTTACTATCTCTGTAGTATGTGCTAGAATAAGCATATTTATGCTGGAAGAAAGCAGAAACGGGTGGGGAAGGGATGATTATCTGTGGTGTAACTTACTTGGGAGTTTGACACTTGCAGGGCCATGGTGACATTTAGCTTGAATGCGCTACGTGGGAGACACCAGATTAGTCCTACTGTTTGGGGAGGAAACTGGGACTCTACAAATGCTTACGATTTAATAAACTACACTATTTCAAAGGGATACAATATTGATTCATGGGAATTTGGTAGGACAGCAGACAGGGCTATTTGTTATGTTCACTTTTTGTTTCATTGGAACTTATTCTTGCATATGCTGCCGTAGGTAATGAGTTGAGTGGTAAGGGCATTGGTGCTAGTGTTGGCGCTGCACAGTATGGGAGAGACTTGATAAAGCTTAAACAAATTTTACACACATTATACAAGAACTCCAAGTTCAAACCTTCACTTATAGCACCTGGAGGATTCTATGAAAAGCAGTGGTTTGATAAGCTTCTTCAGGTTTCAGGTTCAGGCATAATCAATGTGCTGAGTCATCACTTATATAATTTGGGCCCAGGTTTGATTGTCACTTACCTAGTTCTTCTACTATATGTTGAGTAAATACCTTTTTCGGTCCTCATCAAATCTCACGACGTCCGCTTTAGTCCCTAGCAAATAAAAAGGCTATTCGTGGCCCCTAAAAAATTCAAAATGGACCAATTTAGTTAAAATCATGGTTCCTCACAAATTCAAAAAAAATCCACATTAGTTCCTCAAAAGGACTAAAATTGGTCTATTTGAATTTCTTAGGGACCACAAATAGCCTTTTTATTTGCTAGAAACTAAAGCGAGCATCGTAAAATTTGTTGAGGACGGAAAAGGATATTTACTCTTAAAAAATTTAAACTCATCTTCTATGAAAGATTATGCATTGCGTGTACTCGTAGAGAAAATGCTGTTGTCTGTCCTTTCTAATTAGTTTATAAGTTAGTTTTTCTTTTTCAGGTAGCGATGAACATCTTGAAAGGAAGATTCTAGATCCTGTGCGCTTGAGCAAGGTAGAATCAATTTTTAGCAATCTTTCAGAAACCATTCAAAACTATGGTCCTTGGTGTTCTGCATGGGTAGGAGAATCTGGTGGGGCATACAACAGTGGTGGTCGTTATGTTTCTAACTCATTTGTGGATAGCTTTTGGTAATCTTGGTTCTTCCTTCCATCATTTTCTGTTCCTCTTTTCAAGTGCTAAATTAAGAATTATAATATTTTACTTTGCAAAAATATCATTGAAATTAATTTACGAGTTTTGAAATTTAAATGACTAACAGGTACTTAGATCAACTTGGAATAGCTTCCAGATACAACACAAAGGTTTATTGCAGGCAAACTTTAATAGGAGGAAACTATGGCCTTCTCAATACCACCACTTTCACTCCAAATCCTGACTACTACAGGCATGTGTAAATTGAAAAATGTACAATGAAGGGAAAAAAAAAAAAAAGAGAATGTATATTTTTCCAAATTGTTGAAGAGTTATAATTATGTATAATACATACTGCTTCACATATCTAATCCTATGTTCTGCTGTTGTTTTGAGTAGTGCACTTTTGTGGCATCAGCTAATGGGGAAGAGTGTTCTTGCGGCTTCTAGTGATGTTTTTTCACCTTTTTTACGCACTTATGCTCATTGTTCAAAAGGCAGAGTAAGTGCGCTATCAACTTAATAGAAGGATACAACATACAAAAGAGGACATGAGTATATATAGGATTCATTCTTCTATATCTGATGTTTGCTTACTAATACTAACTTTTTAAAATTTTAATACAACATCATATAAAGCTTAACATACTGACATTTGATATATAAATTTGATCATAAGCATCATGAATATATGTGTATATGCACAAAAGTATATGGTAGATTAGATGTTAGGCATCCTAGTGATGTATTGCCACTTTCAATAGTACTACTAATAGCATTCCTCTAATTCTTCTTAATATCATGCAACAGGACGGTGTAACAATACTGCTGATCAACTTAAGCAATCAGACTCATTTCATACTCACGGTTCATGACCGTATGAATTTGAGTAATGGAGGAAATGAAGATGCTAAAAACATCCATATAGAAAATTCATTCTTTAGTCATCTCAAGAGGGCATTTTCTTGGGTTGGAAAAAAAGGATCAGATGTCACATTCAGGGAAGAGTACCACTTAACTCCAAAAGATGATTACCTTAGAAGCCAAACCATGTTGCTTAACGGTATTCCACTAGAGTTAACAAATGATGGTGAAATTCCAATATTAGATCCAGTACGTAGTAATGTACATTCTCCAATATACATTGCTCCTTTATCCATTGCATTTATTGTATACCCCAACTTTGATGCTCCAGCTTGTGTTGGACACACAAAATTTTAATCAAAAGGTTTCTTGAATCTTGTAGACTTAGGTATTAGGACAATGGGATTGTGAGCTCAGTCATTAAAATTGTATGTAGTAGCCATGTATTGTCTTCATAGCAAAGTCATAACCACCTTTGCCATAATTTATTAGATGCATTATCACCTCGTGAATATATCGTTGGTTCAAATGATCAAAAATAGTCATTGCGTTCCACTTTTCTTCCGCGTCCAACTTAAATCCACTTAATATTATATTTATATAAAAATAATAAGTCTTTATTTCCATAAATTTAACTGTTATAATTTATTATATCATACTTATTACTTAATTATTAATTTTAATAAATTATAATAATTAAATTTACGAAAATCAATAGTTAAGATTTGATGTAAAACTTATTATTCTTACGGCAGTATAAGTTGATATAATTTTGTATCACTTTCTAATTATAAATAAAACCAAATTAGTATATGCCTAATAAGTGATACTTTAATCATAACCTCCACTACTGTTTTTTTTTTCCTCTTTTTTTATACGTCGGAATAGAATAAGTATTATAAACGAAATTTGATCCCTAAAAGATGAATGTATTACATTATATTCCTCCTTAAAACATTTTAATCACCGGTATAATCTTTTAGGGCTGGTTTAGTGGATAAGACAGATAAGAAAAGGCCTATTATAAAATATCACTTCAGTCTGGTTGTACATTGGAGTTGGTGACGGATCAAGTCAATAAAGCAATCAAATTAAGGAATTGCAGTTTTACATAAAAAAAATTGGGTCCCTCTTTTCTCATGTTGTAGGAGAAAGAATTCTCCTACTATAGATATAATAAGTGATGGGTCCCACCTCTCATTAAAAAACAAAAATAAAAAAATTTGTTGCACACATTTCGATGTCTCTCTAGTAGCAAAAAAATTTCTAGTTAACTTCTATAAAAGGAACGAAACATAAGAAAATGAAAAGGATTACAATACCAGTTATGGAGTGTTATAAAATACTCCCACTTTTCCTTATGTGAATTTTTTAAAGAAAAGGAATTGTTTCTTTTTATGTCTATTTATAAATAAAAAAAAAACATTAATTGGTTTTTTAATGTTACACTTAATATATTAATACGAGAGAAGATTATTAGAATAATAATAATTTAAATATTTTAATGAAGAATAAATTAGTTATTTGAACTTATTTTACATATAATTAAAGTTATTTAATAACTTTCATAATTTTTTAAAAAACATCAAACGACAGAATAAAAAGGAGGGAGCGAGGGAGCATGTCATAATTCCTAGGCATTATGTAATCTTCAACAGTGTTGGCTGATTAATTCGATTCTTAATATGCAATTAAAGTGTATAAAAATTGGCTGATTAATTCCTAGGCATTATGTAATCTTCAACAGTGAATCGTTGCTATGAAAAAATTGTCTCACCACAGATTATGAAATCCATTAGTGTATAAAAAAACAAAGATGAAAAAGTATTGAAATCAATCTTATTTTCCAAGTAAACGACGCCCGCGTTGATTAGCACCTTTAATTCGGAAGTTCACCTCATCCACATCATCGGATACATGAATGAGGGCTTTGTTATGCCTGCAACATTTACATAAAAATAACTATTAACAATGAAATCCTTCTGAATAGAATAATAATACAACTAAGTACACACACAGCCAGGTCAAACTGTCAAATAAAAACTATCACATTGTTTTGCAAGGAGTTAGGGGAGAGAGGGGAAAAAGATGAAAATGGTTCTTGTTTGATTATGTTCTGGTTTTTTTATTTTTAAAACTATTCTGTAGAATAGTTATTCAAACAGGTGCTTTTTTTGTGTGTTTTTTTTTTTATTTGCAAGTTAAAAATCAAAACACAAAACAAAAACAATTCGAACATGTTTTCTAAATTTGATTTTAAAAACTAAAAAAAAAGTTACAACTTTTAAAATTATTTTTTACAAAAGAGACCTTATCAAACATGTTTTTAAAAACAGAGAGTATTCAATCAAGGCCTAGTGTTCAAGAATCACTTTAAGGTAAACTTAGAGAACCAATGAATAGAATGCAAATTCACTAACCTCCCAATTTCGAATCCCATGTCAACAGCCATCTCTTTAAGCTCTCCCAATACATCACTTAAATCTGACAGTGCATCATCTTGCTTCCCTTTTTCAAACTGTTTCATGACATTTTATTAAGTAGCTGAATTCAATATTAACAATAAATATAGTTTCGTGCATTTCTACCAATAGTGTTGTGCAAGGCAAAGAGGAAAATCACAAATGAAAATTACAGTATACAGGTTTGGACCCAACAAATAACAATGACTAGAGGGTCAGAGTTTGCAAAATTAATAAAGATTGTAAATAAAACTGGTTTGTTGCAAACTAGTGGTCTGGTCATTAGAGCTAAAACTATAGTAGAAAGTCACCAACACAGAATAATCACAATATTAAAAGCAAAGCTTTGTCATGTTCAGCTGGCTTTAAACAACAATTTAATCTTCACAAAGTTGATACGAACCTCAACTTTTTCAATTGCATTTGTTGGTTCATGAGGTGGTGTCCGCACCTTGGACTGTCCTTTGGGTGCAGAAGTCAATCCCAACTTCTCTCTCTGTTCCAAGTGGTTGCCCTTTCTTCTGACCGGATCATCTGCATATCATGAAGCACATTATGCCTATGATACAAATAAAGGGCAAAAGGCAAATCCCGGTGCACAAGGCTCTCTGACTGGCGAGAATAGGGATAAGGGTCAATTGTACATAGCCTTATTCTTGCATTTTTGCAAAGATGCTGTTTTCCGTACTCAAACCCATGACCTTCCGGTCTAAGCCTATGATAATGATACAAACCAAATTAATTAAATTTAGAAAGGAAAACACATGCATAGAAAATATTAACCTCCAAAAATAACAGGGCCTCTTATTGCACGTGTCTTCTTTGGTTTCCAAGTCTTGGAGAAGAAGCCACCAAGGCTTCCCAAAAGCTTTTCTCCCTGTAAGCAGCAATAAGACAGTTAAAATTTGGTCCAAAATAACAATTTCAATACAGGGTTTTATAACAAAAGAATGTTATGTAGCAAAACAATGTTTTCAAGGTAAACCAACATGAAGACACCATTCATATAGGAGCATTGAAATAAATGTATTAATTAACAAAATTTATACCCGACTTAAATCATGTTCAATGTCAGCAGCAACATGGTGACTCCTGGTAATTTGTTCACCCTGTTGATGAAGGGTGACCAAAGTCTTGGTAGCATCCCCTCTTATGTTCTCTGCTATCTTCAAACAATTGTTGACTGATTTTGTAGTTTCTTCAGCCTTGTAAACAGCATAACTTTCCAATTCTTGCACTGACTGATTCTCTAATCCGCCAGAGTCGCGGAAATCATTCTTATACTTGTTCCGGTCTGCTGATTGAATGGCAAACAAAGATGATGAAGATTTCTTATTGGCATCAATGTCATCAAAAGGGTTGGTATTAACTTCTACTGTATTAAGTGCACGTTCTGAAGAAGTCTTCCTTGAAGAATTATACTTTTTGTTATCTTTTGCCTCATCATCAGAATCAAATGGGTTCGGCCCAGATTTAAGAGGATAGACAGGACCAACAGAACTAGGTTTAGCAACTTTCAAAGGAGATTTCTTTGAACCAAACATTCTCTTTCTTCTTGCAAAACTGATTCAGAAGCAGATTAAGGTAAACTGCTCAACAAATAAGAAACAACAATCCTGTGTGGCTTTAATAGAGGCAAATTTCTCACTGTAAAGGCAAAAAAGCGCAATTCAGTCACTGTTAATATACGAACCTATATATATATATCAAATTCTTAATCCACTTATCGCATAAGCATTAATTTTATTAGCCTACAAGAAACTACATTCATGACATAAAAAGCATTTAACTTGATAAAAAAAATACCGTAAATAAAAAGGGCAAAAAAGATTAACTAAGGAAAAGAGAATGGACAAAAGATACAAGAGTAAAGCAACACAAAGAAAGGGGATCACCAACCACTGATAATGACCGTAAAGAAATTAATAAGAAAAAAAGAAGTAAAAACAAAATAAAAGAAGAGACCATAAATTCAACAAATGAATTGCTTTGTTTGGTTGCTCAGAAAATGAAAGAACATTTTGCAGAAGACTATTAGACGGAAAAAAAAACACAAGATTTTCAATATAAACGGGAAACCCCTTATCAAGAGAGAAAATTGAACTGAATTTGTCTTACAAAAACCGCATATAAACCCAACAAGATAGAAAAAATCTCGCAAGACCCAGATGGATTTAAAGGCTTCTCTCAGCAACAGAATGATAAAAATCAAAACTTGCAGAAGAGAAAACAAGATGGTACCTGGAGAAGTAGACGAATGTGCAGAAAAACTCGTAAAGAACCAACAATTTTAAGAGCTCTAAATGGATAATGAAGTGTGAGACAAAGAGGGAAGGTTTCTATAAGAACTTGGTAATGCAGAAGCCCTGCAAAATCGCGTCAAGAAAGGTCAGAGTCAGAGGGGTGGAAAATTCAGAGAAATCGCAGTTTGCAAGGCAAAATGCTGAGTGAACGTGTTCTTTGAGGGCTTGGTGATGCGCTTCATGTTTTTGTTTCGTTTTGTTTATTATTTTATTTATTTATTTATTATGGCGTTTTTTTTGAAGGGAAATCATTATCTCCTTCTACATGAGATAAGAACTTTTTCCTACACAAATTCATTTTCCGTGCCAATTAATTTTTCTTTTCTTTTTTAATTTAAAACGTGAGATCCACATTTAACTTATCTCTACTTTTTTTGTCTTCTTCTATCCTACAACGTAAGAAAATATGCACCTTTTTTGAATTGAAACGTTGAATGAATCAAGATCTAGTGGGGACCTTTTCAGATGTGATATGTGGAGTCATTTCAACTTTCAAGACTTTGACAACTTCTTTATATTACGGAAATTCCATTTTCCTTTTTTTTAAGAAGTATTCGGGTGAAAAAGATTAAAAAAGAAGAAGGAGAAAACGATTATATCAACTTATGTACTTAAAAATATAAAGAAAATGATATCAAGGGAGGAAAAGATTTGTTGTGAAAGTTACTACTTTTCTACGGGGCATGATATTCTTATATTTATGTAAAATTAAAAAAATTTATATCAATTTTGATTATTAATTTACTTGTATTTAATGATTTAAATATTTAATAAATCAGAATCATTAAATATAAATAAAATTAAAAATGAAGATTAAAGATGTAACTTACAGATCTGATACCCTCTATTCTAATCAATCTCTTGAATGGAAAGAAAGAGAATGAAAAGTAAGAAAAGAATTTTTGTGACTCTATTTTATTAATAGGTTGTGACTTTATATTTACATGTATTTTTATTCATTTATATATATATTTTCATTTTATTTCTTTATCAAATCAAACACAGAAAAAGGCTTTTTTTCACTGAATAATAATAAATTAGAAAAGAAACAACGCGTTTGATTTTCTCTTCCTTTTAATTTTTTAATTCTTTTCTTTTCTTTTTCTTCATGATATACCAATAACATCATTTGGCATAGTTTTTTATTTTATTTTTCCCTTGTTCTATTTTTTTTTGAAAAAAAAATCATTAACTACATCGCATAATTATGTTTCTTTTTTTCTAGTGAAAGGAACATTCTAAATAATTAGAAAATTGTTGCCGGCCATTGACTTAGCATATTGCTATATTACTGGTTGATTAAATATGCGTCCCAAAATGTCACCAAAATCGACGAAGTATTTTATGGTTAAAACTTAAAAGAAGCGGTGTAATAATTATTATTTTTGGTATGTAAAAGGGGTGAAAACAATTCTTTTATATATTATTCATGATCAATTACCTAATTCAATTTGAGCCGAATAAGATCACGTCAACCTTTTAATATGATAATAAAATAATATAGAGGCCTTATGTTACCAAAATAATAATAATAATATAGAGGCCTTTGTTCAAATCCATCTCATTTGCTGATAGAGAGACAATAACAAATCGATACAAATTAATCAGACTATTGAGGAGCAATACTTGTATTGTGAACTTTGATGCAAATCATGCAATCTTAATTATAAAAAGTTGTAATAATAAAAAGTTTAAAATGTAATCTTAATATTGATGTGCATGTATATGATGGTTGTAATTTATTAAATTGCATTCTTGATTAATTATTAATTTTTAACAAATTATATTCATCGAATTTTCATAAATCAATGATTAAGATGATTCTTGTTCCGGCCAGCCTAATCGAATGACCCAACAAGGCAGGCTCAACCCCAGAGCATCAAGCCATGTTAGCCCTAGTAGCCCCTGTCATGCCAGTACTGTTATCGCTACACTCATGCGACAGATCCTCCAACATAAGACACTTTAATGTCTTACATTGAGATATTTTCTCCATCCTCTCACCCCCTCTGACCTCTATGTGGATATTCTCTCACACTGCTATTACACCAACAGTTGTTACTGGCGTAACAGTAGCTGCAAAGTGACTTGCCCCGGCAAGGCATGGCACATTGAGCTCTTCTCCAAGAGAGTTGACCTGACTCGCTCTCCCACAACAGGCAAGGCATCAGCCTTTGCTATAAATACTTTCCCTTTTTCCCAGAGAAGGGATCTGAGATTCATGAGCCGTTACCCTGCTGCATCGAAGAGCCACTGTTGCTCCTAACACACCTCCTTTCACTGCACTTGAAAGATCATTGCTTAGCTTGGGTCTATACCTCTGCTGACGGTAATACCCCTATTGTGACCATTTCACCCATTCGGGTTATATATTGGACTTTTAGCCTGCCAACGGTTCAATTCTCTTGAAGATAAAGCTTGATCCCAAACTTGGATCATGGGTATGTTTAAGAATAGATTATTTTATAAAAAAAATACAATTTCTTTTTAAAGTTATTTATTAAAAGTTTTAAATAAAATAATATTGGGGCTTTAAGCCCCTCCCCTCTACCAAAAAATAAAATGAAATATAAAATACTTTTTAATAAAATAAGTTAATCTAGACATGGTATGAGACAAAAACTTGATATTGAAATTGAGATTTTTCAATGGATTAAAAATAAGACTTATGAATTTGGCCAACCAAAAATAAGTGGGCGAAGGTAGGCCTTAGGAGTCAATAGCCACCAAGTCCAAATGACTTGCTCCACCATAACAAGTTATGAACAATACTAACATCTGTACCTTTTAATACATGGAAAGACTTTTATGTAAAGACTCTTAATACATGGAAATAGGTTAGCCTTGGAGCTAAACAATTCATATAAAGGCTTTCAAGTTGAAATTAAAATGTACGTTCTGAACAACTATAGAAACCAGGATTCATGGAAAATTATAAGGAATGCTATTTAATATGCTAATATTGCAATATGAAGATATTACTTACAGACGTGCTCAAATAATTCAATATCATGGTAACTTGTAATTTATCCGTAGAAATGGGCTATTTGACCATTTTGTCCCTCATTAATTAATTAATAACCATTTTGTCCTTGATTCAAAACTATCTATCAATCTGCCCCTCTTTAATCGACTAATTTGAATTTTTAATCGACTAAATAGTTGTTAGGAGATTTAATCGACTAAATCTCCCTACTTAATCGATTAAAAAATCATACTGACTTGTTTTACTTTGTTGTCTGTTGGGAGATTTAGTCGACTAAATAGGGAGATTTAGTCGATTAAATCTCCCAACAGCCATTTTTGCCTGTTTTGACCATTTAATCGACTAAAAATGCAAGGTAGTCGATTAAAGAAGGGCAGATTGATAGATAGTTTCGAATCAGGGACAAAATGGTTATTAATTAATTAATAAGGGACAAAAGGGTGAAAAAGCCGTAGAAACGTAAGAAAATAATTTCTTTTTTTTTTGGAGTTACCCAACCCTAATTACCTCTTTGAAGTGAGTTGGCTCCCTCCGGTATCCCCACAAGCTTCGACTCTTTGAGCCGGCTATGGGACTAATCCGGAGTGCGGGGGTCAGTAATGGCTAAAGGTTCAGCCCCCTCCCCAAGAATGCATTCAGCGAGAATCGAACATATGTCCAACCCCACTAACTCAGCGCCAAGGAACCAACTGAGCTGCACCCATTGGGTTTGACCAAAATTTTGGTTTCTAAAAACTCGAATTTCAAAAATACCAAAGCATGTTGACAATTTCAGAAGTTTTAATTATTCTTTATACAAGAATTGTCCCGTTTGTTTTAGATTTAAATTCCCAAGATAAAAAAATAAAAAATATTTCCCAAGATACACTGGATACAAAAACTTGACATTCAGGACCATTTTTGAGACCTGAACATGGGCCCATGGAATCACCATATTTTTTAGTTTTTAGCATGCTCCACAAACCATGTGGCTCCTTTCTCTCGAGATGTGCATTTGAAACCTTGCAGATTGTTTTTTTTTTTTTTTTTTATAAATTACAGATATTCTCCACAAGAGGTAATCATGTTCGAACAGAGAAGATTCACATCATGATGGAGCTAGTTCTCCTAAACCTTGCAGATTTTGTACTTAAACCAAACCAAGTACAAAAAAAGACGTTTTAGTTTGGTCGTCAACAATTAATCATTAAAAAACATGCACTGAAACCGGTGAAATTATACCAACTACATTCATAGGTGGATCATGTACAATTACTCCACACAGCCCCCAAAACAAAGAGAGAGAGAAAAACTCCGGGCAAGTCCTTGCACGCACCCCATACTTTCAAAAAACCTTGCCACTTACACATCCTCTTAAGTGATCATTCTCTGGCCTTCTATACAACCCACTTTGATTCTTTCGGCTTCGATGGAATCTTTGAGACTAAGGCACAAGAAGAAATCCTAGATTTCAATTTTCCTTCAGAGAAAAACACACCGTTGCTATCCAGAATATAACAAATTTTTTGCCAGGATACTTTGCAGAACTATACACCCTGAGAAAGAATAGCAATTCAAATCAGTGCAACGGAAGGAGGAAGATTGACAGTATATAAATATTGTAAACGTCAGAACGATTGGGCCTAACTCAATCCAAAAAGCTAGCCCGTAAAGTGAGGAAAAAAAGGGTACTCATTCATTATAAAGGGTACTCAGCCCATATATTTAGCATATGTGGGATATCTTGACACACCCCCTCTCAAGCCCACGATAGGTTATCTCGAGCATGAGGTTGACTGGAACGCCTCCCCTCAAACCTAGGACTGGTTATCTGATGCATGAAATTCACAAGAGGCTTTATTAAATATGCGGGACCGCTAGGCAGTTACCATTATACATAACACTCCTTGCACTTGCAATTGCTACCTTATTATCATCGTGGTCAGTGGATACAACCCTCAAGGAAGTTACAAAGCAATTTGACTACCCCACCAACTCTATCCGAGGCAACAAATTATGCTTTCATGGTTGACCTTGTAATATATGTTTACTTGGATGATTTCCACGACACAACACCCCCACCAAGTGTATACACATACCTACTTGTGGACTTGGTTTCACTAGAGTTGGTGATCCAATTTGCATCACAATATCCTTCCAGTATCGCAGGATATTTCGAGTAATGCAAAACATGGTTTTGAGTATGCTTGGAGTGACCCGAGATACATGTCACTTCTTTCTAATAATTCCCATTTGTGTTGCTTGTATATCAACTTAGCACGCTAATAAAAACCTTGGGATGCACCACCCCAAAAGCTAGCTCAAAGGGTGGGATTGCCCAAGGCCTTATAAACCCCACATTAATTGCCCATACAACCAATGTGGGACTCCAAGTCCCATACCTTGCAAATGGGTCCCTAACATTCCACCACGCTCTGCAGTCTCGGCGCCCATGCCGGCTGGCTTTGCGCTAGTCTTTTACTAGCCCCGAGCGAACACTGCAATGCCGGCGTCACCACCCGCGCCGCTCGATTGCAACCGGGAGACATAGTGGAAGGCTCTGATACCATTTGATAAAAACCTTGGGATGCACCATCCCAAAAGCTACCTCAAAGGGTGGGAGTGTCCAAGGCCTTATAAACCCCACATTAGTTGTCCATACAACCAATGTGGGACTCCAAGTCTCATACCTTGCAAATGGGTCCCTAACACACGCTTATAACATTTGATATGTTATGTCTATTGCAGTTCATGACATACATTAAAATGCATAGTATACTAGCATACTCAACATGTTTCTTAGCTTGACCATTATTCTTATCCAATTTATAAATTAATATCTCCTGGAATCTTTCCCAACAAGATAAGGATTATATACTGGACTATGAACACAATCTAACAAGTATTGAGTTCAATTTCCATTTTGATGTTTTAAGCACTTAGCAAACTACTTTTATGTTGAGAGGGAAACTTTTGAGATACGTTGAGACAAACCTGTAAGGTCATTCTCTATCGCTGAACCTGAAAGACTTAAGACAATGCCAGCCTCTATGAGTCTATGTTTCATGGAGATGTCTGGCAGCAATTAAGGACTTTTGTGCTCTCTTTGAAGCTTGAATAAAAACAAAAAAGGAAAAAGTAAAAAAGTTACTCCTTTGGATGACCTCTAACTGATAAGAAAGAGAAAACAAAAAAGAGAGGTTTTTAACTTCTAAATTCATATTCATACCTGAGCCTCTAACTCAGCAATTCTTTGCAAGGACGCCTGTTCAATGCAAGCACGGCGCTTACATTCCTCTTCTAGCAAACATGTAAATTGGTATCTCAGCTCTGCCATTTCCTGAACTAAGTCCTCTGCTTCTTCTTTGGCCTTCAATTTTTCTTCTCTTAATTCTTCCTAGTAAAGGAAGTCAAAATACCATATAAATCTCCAAGCTTAAGCAAATGACTTGAATCACGGAGTTATGTCAAACAAGTCCTGTTCTCTTACTTTCGTGTTTAACAAATTCACATAGACCACTTCAATTATTACGCCTAGATGGATGGCCATACCTTAAGTTTCTTCAAAAGAAATTCATATTCTTGGATCTGATGTGACCTCTCCTTCTTCCCTTCTAAATCTGCAGTTGGATCTACAATCATTGCCAATCTTCCATGGAGTGGACCCCATACTTCTCCACAAGTGCTGAGGAAATATTAGGAAGACATTGCCAGAAAGTTTAGTGAAAGCATACTTCAAATTGTAAAATTATAAATACAAAAAGGAAAGGAAACAATCAGACACCTATATTATCACTAACGATAGTGAAAAAGACACATAATCAAATCTTTTCCTATACATAACTATAAGGTAGACATGTTTAGTTTCTCTTCTTTCTTTTTTTGGTACATTGAGGGGCTCAGCCCCTATAAAGAAAAGCAACTAGCAAGAAATGCAACGAAGTTTGGCGACAGAAGAATAATTTGCTAACAAGAAGGTCCTAATATCAGAGGGGGGATCAGAGAAGACAATATAATCTTTCTTGTCTATATGTTTAGTTTCTTTTAACATGCATGTTTGCTGTGAAATATTGCATTTAAAATATGATTTAGAACTACATTATCAGAATAAGGAATAAGGAGTATTAGAGAAATATAAAGTTATTAATGTAGCCTCACCCATGAGCTTAAGCTTTTGGATTGAATTGGTTTTTTACATGGTATTAGAGCCTTCGTGACCACGTGGTCACGAGTTCAATCCTCACTGCCCCCATTCAGTTAATAAATAATTGCATATTGTGGAATTTCTTAGCACAGGTAGGTTGAGCCTGATGCATCATCCACCCTTCAACCTCAATGGGCTCTCATGTGAGGGGTCGTGTTAGAGAAATGGAAAGTCATTAATGTAGCCTCACCCATAAGCTTAAGTTTTTGAGTTGAATTGGTTCTTTACAAGGAGCAAAATGGAACATAATTCAACTTACATAAACTAGTAAAGGATTAACCTATTTCTTTAATTTTCTGAATCCGTCCCATCTATATTGGAATTATATAAATTCAAAATACCAAAAGGTGCAAATAAGTCTACTTAATAACACTTGTATCAGACATACAGTTATTAACTATGATCATATTAATAATGTTATGACTTAGTAAAAGTAGCTCTCTATTTGTTTTATCACCAAACTAAAAATGGAAATTTATTATGATGAGAGAAGGAAAAAAGTAGATTAAGGAAACCCCATTACTGTTGTATTGACTTGAAGTAGCAAAAGTGGCAATCTCACTTTCAGAGACTATCAAAAGAAGATCAAGCCAATTTAGATGGAAGAGTTGTAAAGAACCATTTCAACCCAAAAGCTTAAGCTGTTGGTAGAGGTTACCCTAATGGTTTTATATATCTCTAACACGCCTCCTCACACGAAAGCCCACTGGGCTTGAAGGGTGGACAATGTACAGGCACACCTACCTGTGCTGAGAAACTCCACAAGACTTACTTAATTATTAATTAAATGGGGGGCGATGAGGATCGAACCTGTGATACTGAAGCTCTGATACCATGTAAAAAACAATTTCAACCCAAAAGTTTAAGCTGTTGGGTGAGACTACCTTAATGGTTTTATATATCTCTAAACAAGAGTAAACAGTAGATCCCAATGAAAACACCTACCTGTGCTGAGAAACTCCACAAGACTTACTTAATTATTAATTAAATGGGGGGCAATGAGGATCGAACCTGTGATACTGAAGCTCTGATACCATGTAAAAAACAATTTCAACCCAAAAGTTTAAGCTGTTGGGTGAGACTACCTTAATGGTATTATATATCTCTAACAAGAGTAAACAGCAAATCCCAATGAAAACATCATCCTTCACATGTCACATATAATTAAACAAAACTTCAAAATATGTACCTTTCGTCCTCTGGTATGGTAGAATTGCTCCCTTGTTCACTCAAGGAAGATTGATTCTTGAGTTGTGATCTGTCCTTGTTTTCCAGCCAGTATTTATCCTTTTGAGAAAAAAAATTATTGTTCTTGTTGGTAGTATCAAGCTTCTCTTTAAGTTCCCTATTTTCTTCATTTAGAGAGGTGATGATTTTTTGTGCATCCTGCAATGCTAGCTGTAGCTCGTCAATTAATCTACTCATTCTATTATTTTCTTCTAGAGTTTCATCCTGGATTTTCTTGGCTTCGAAAAAACTCTGTTCCAAGGCCATCATATCAAGCTTCATACTCTCTACTTCAAACTGAGACTCTAATGCCATGGACGAAAACGATTCCTCCAATTTCTCTATGGACAAAGCTGAATTCTCTAAATCTAATTCTTTAGTCTCTAATTCCTGGATCAAGGAAAATTGCTTTAACTTGGATCTTTTCAGCTCCTCCCTTAAGCTGAAAACCTCTTCTTGTAAACGTTCCACCTCCTCCAGTTTCAATTCAAGGCTGCAAACACGCTCTTCTAGATAGTTCACCTCTGTGTTCCTTGCACTGAGTTGATCCTGAAGATAATCTGTATAATATATAAACAAATTAAGCCCATGAAACAGTACTAAAACCTCAAAATTTCAGTGCATTATTCGATAAATAAATGCATTCCATGAAAGAGTACCTATTTCTTGAGAACAATTCAGCAGCTCTTTTTCCAACCTCTGGATGTGTTCCTTATCTTCAGTATGAGCTTCTGATAATGACTTCTCATGTTGTTCTAGTATCTACATCAATGTCATAAATCAGATTGGTATCAGGTGTTTGTTTAAAAAAAAAAATTGTAGTCATTTCATGTGTCTATCTATCTGGCTGATGTAAACATCAGAGCATGCCTTTATTTTGAAGTTCAGCAGGATGAGTTTGTGTATAGAAATTTCCCGCAGGATAAATGCATGGGGAGCTCTCTAACAAGCATTACAGTATTATATTATTGCCTTCAAATTGCCACAAAACCAAAATATAGTTATAGTATAGTATTGCACAATATCACCTCTTTTTTGCTGCAGAGGGCATAGAGAGACTCATCTTAGTTTCTTGAGTAAAGCCATTTTACTTTCAGATTAAAGAGTTACAAAACAAAACACATGAAGATGCCAAAATTTTAAAAGCAAGTTCTTCCTGGTCTTTCTGGTTATGACTTATGAGTTAATTACAGATATTATTGATTGGATATCTTATAATGATATCTTAAACGTTTTGGGATAGAGAACGTTTTGAAATGTCCTTCACTTTTCCACGCTGCAAATCACAGACAAAAAATAAATTGGTAAAAAGAGAGAAAAAAAATGATACATCATGCATAAACTACATTTCTAAAAAAACATGTCAAACTCAACCAATATTTGAAAAGCTTACAACATTGACATAGAAGTACTACTTCATTCTAGTGGGTAGGAGTAACAGCGGAAAAATGATAAAGCAATCCAAAATACATATAAGGTGTTTCACCCTCTTAAGTTTCATGTGAAAGCCACTAATAAATTGATAATGCAACAAGGGGTAACAAAAAATGACATAACAAAAACCAATCAAGAGTCAAGACTACCAAACACAGCAATATTAACCAAGCTCAAGGAGAAAGAGAGATAATTAGGTTAAAAAGGGGGATGGTACCTCTCTGCCTCTTGTTCCAAGTTGAAAAAGTTCTCCCGCATTAAAGGGAGGATCACTATCACTTCTGAAGCTATTTGACATTTATGTAAGCAAATTCAACACAAATGCATTGGACTAAAGGTACCTGATTGATGTTCATTAGCAAATGAACCATGTTAAAATTTTACAACAATAAAGAGAGAGATAATGAGTGAATGACCACAACCAATACACAAAACCATCCGCAACTAATGAAATGGAAATTCGAGAATCAAAACCATAAGGAATGATGAAACGCTGCTAAGAAACTTATTTTAAAATAAAATAAATAAAAAATAAAATTGGTAGTTACAATACAAGTAAAAGGGGATATACATTAATTTTGATACGTCCTTCAAAATAATGACTAACTTTACGAATTTATAAAATAAAAAACCCCCATATAGAAATTCAATCACCAGAAAGTAGGATTTGGAAGATGTAAAAATCGAGATTTAGACCTAACCCGAATAAGAGGAAGAATAGCAATGGTGGCGGTGACAGAGCCACACCACTATGGTGCTTACCCAAACATTCGGTTCCAAGTTCGCTGCCACCCATCGAGGACATTCTTGTCCTTTTGTTATCTCTTCGATCTTTGGGTAACACTGCTTATTTTTCAAAATACCCATTCCTCCCGTATGAACTGTTTTTTTTTTTTTTAAATAACTTTTTCATTACTACTTGACAGATAAATTAAAAATAAATAATCTCAATTACATTATATCATTTTTTTATTTTGACGTACAACTTATTTATTATATTTTCAAATGAATACTTGGATAACGTGAAATAAAAATATTATTTTGGTTTCGATATATGTATGATGTATCCAAATATTTGATATTTTAAATTATTACTTGACTCAGTCAAATATATATATATATATATATATATATTTTTTTTATTTTTTTTTTTTGAAAAGTTCAAAAACTCCCCTATAGTTTTGCTTTGAATTATGGGTTCGCTTTTTCTGCAGTTACTGCAGATAACTTATCTGCAGTAAGTCAATACGACGTCGTTTTGGGACAGAAATCATGGTGTTTTGTAATTTTAATTTATTTCAGGGTTATAAGAATCTTTATATTTATAATTTTTTAAGATTTCAATACCAAAACGACGTCGTTTTGAGAATAAATACAGATAACTTATCTGCATTAACTGCAGAAACATTTTTCCCTTGAATTATTTGTACTTTGTACTTTTTTTCAATCACTTTCCTCCTATAATTCTTTTCATTCAAACTTATTCTTAATATTATTAAAATTAAATTAATATGTCTATTTTGCCTTTCTCAGAAGAAGAGAATAAATTGAGGACCAAAAAAATAATAATAATAAATATGTTGAAAACTTTGAACATTTATAGTAAAGACTAAAAATAAAAAAATGAAAATAGGAGGACAAATATATCAAATATGTCTAAATCAAAAAGAAGAAAATAGATTGAGGACAAAAAAAGAATAAGAAAAAAATGTTGAAAATTTATACCAATAATAGAAAAGACCAAAAGTAAAATAGTGAAAATAGTTTAAATCAAAAAGAAGAAAATAGAGTGAGGATAAAAAAATAAGATCAAATATGTTAAAAATCTATAACACTAACAAAAAAGATTAAAATTAAAAAGAAACAAATAGACTAAATAAAAAAAATAGAACAAAGAAATAAAAGAAAAAGAAATCACTATTGTTAGATTTTAACATATTTTATTTTATTTTTCTTCTATTTTTTTTTATCTTCAGTATAATTTTTTTATATATATTTATGTTTGGTTTTTTTATTTTATTTTTTAACTTTTTGTATTTTCTATCACTATTAAAAGAAATGAAAATAAAAAGGCGAAAAAGAAATCATTGTTGTAGATTTTTAATATATTTTCTTCTTTTTTATTTAGACAGATGCCTTATTTTTTCTTTTTTTTCTTTTTTTGTTTTTATCTATTTTTTATTTAGATGCCTTATTTTTTCTTTTATTTCTTTTTTTGTTTTTGATCCATTTTTTATTTAGACTTTTATATTTTTATTTATTTTTAGTCTTCTCTGTTATTATTGTAAGTTTTCAACATACTTGATTTTTTTTTTTGTCTTCTCAGTTTATTTTCTTCTTTTTGATTTATACATATATGATTTTTATTCTATTTTCATTTTTTAGTCTTTTTATAAATATTTAAATTTCCAACTTATTTCTTCTTTTACTTATTTTTATCCTTGGTCTATTTTTTTCTAAAAAGGATGAAATAGATAGATTAATTTAATTTTTAATGGTGCTAATGATATGTTTAGATGAAAAAACCATAGCTGGTAAGTTATTAGATATATATATATATATATATATATATATATATATATATATATATATATATATATATATATATATATAGGGAATAACATTTCTCCGGCCATTCCTTATAACTTTGTACTCCAAGGAGTACATAATTATAATATTAAAAAAAAAATCTCTATAGAAAACTTTTCAAAAACTTGTCGGCTGATGTAGAGAAGGAGAGAAAAAAACAACTTTAAGATTATAACTATGTACTTCCGGAGTGGCTGGAGAGAAGCTTATATCAAGTGATTGGAGAAATATTTTTCTCATATAAATATAAACGATTGAACGCAAAATCATAGGGGATTTTGAACTTTATCTTATTTTTTTTCAATAATATTACATCTACAAATACTTGCACTAAATAGGAGAAGCTATAGAGTACGAGCCTAGAAAGTCTGCCACTGCATTCCCTTCACTTCATGGTGAATATGCGACATATGGATATATCAGTCACGTTGTATCATATTACTAATGCGCTGCATCAAGTTTGCAGAAGGATGATCTTTATGACAATGATGAGTTAGTGTTGAATGTTTAAGTTCATACTAAATACATTTATTCTCTTCGCTTATCGGTTTAGAAAAAAATTCAAAATCAAATAAGGGTAATTCAATTGACGCCAAAAAACTGAGCAGATGTAAGTGAGAGCATATGTTCGATATTTCCCAATACTTTATTTGGAAGGGATTTAAAATCTTAATCTCGATATTCATCCTGAATTAGAATATTTGCGGAGCAATGAACCGATAAGAATATCTTAAAAAAAAAATTCAAACAAATCTCATTTTTTTTCTTTTGTTATTTATTTATTTATTTGTCAAAATGATAAATTAAGTGTAAGGAATGATGTATGAATTTAGATGTAGATAATAATATATTTTTTCTTTAGTGAGTGCAAAAATATGGGGTTAAAAAACCAATCTTGTTTTTTAAAGAAAAATTAATTATAAAAATACCAATACTTTCTTCAATTTTCCATTTACTAGAAGTCTAAGATAAAGTTAATTCATTGTTAAACACGTCAATAAAAATTAATTCATACGGAGCTTAATTAATAATCTCAAATTCAAGTCTAAGATATGTATTTGTGTTCAAAATTTTATGGGTAGAATTTTGCTCTTTATACGATGTTGCTGAACTTGATCTGACTAGTCGATTAATAAGAGAATTGATGGAGAAATTAAAAAAAAAATTGAAATAAAAAGGTAAAGTCGAATTCAAAATAGTCAAAAGATATAATTTTGTTCATTATTGTTTCTCAAAATAATTTAATTGGACACTCATTTTCAGTTTTTACATTAAGTCCATTGACGCATTTTCGTATGCATGCATTCAAGGCCAACACCAGAAACGGGCAATACATCAAATATAAACAACAAAATGAAGCAAATTATTTCTTCCGAGATATTTGCTTTAGCAATTATTGCAGTGGCACCAGCACCGGCACTAGCAAATATGACATTTATTTACTTTGACACTTTCTCTAGGTTCTACATGTATTTCTTCCCAGACAACTGTACAATATATACCATTTTCCCCAAAAACTAATACCGTAAAACTTGGATGCTGCCATAAGTGACCTGCAGTACTGGATTTAGAAATATTCCTCACGTGGTTCCCCACAATTGCGTCAATAAATGTGCAACTCAGCAAAACGAATGTAAAGAATAGGAGAAAGGATATATTTATAAAAAATTTATGGGTTTATTTTTTTTGCGGTTACTGCAGATAAGTTATATGCAGTAAGCTCAATACGATATTGTTTTGGGGCGAAAATTATGGTATTTTTGTAATTTTAATTTATCTCATGTTATTATAGTCTTTATAATTATAATTTTTTAATTTTTCAATCCTAAAACGATGACGTTTTAGAAGTAAATATAGATATTTTATTTACATTAACTCCAGAAATATTTTTCTGATTTTGTATTTATAAACTCTTATAAATTACTCTATGTATTATGGGTAATATATATTGTTTGAAAATATACTATTCATAGTATATAGTGTAGTTTATAAATAAAAAAATTTGTAAATATAATTTACTTCATAAAATCTATATAAGGAAATAATTATCTTATGTTGATAAATAGATCACACACACACACACTATATATATATATATATATGAGGTAGGATCCTTTGACACCGGTGTCAAATTTGAAGTTTGACACCTCATCTGGGAGCCGTTAGATCAAAAAAGATCAATGGTGTCACATGTTTATAAATCAGAGTCGTTGATCTTTTTTGATCTAACGGCTCTCAGATGAGGTGTCAAACTTCAAATTTGACACCTGTGTCAAATGATCCGGCCTCTATATATATATATATATATATATATATATATATATATATATAGGGTTCTATAAGAGTTATGTTGTAGGAAAAATGATTGTGTAATGTTATAGAGATTCGTTTTGCGTGCCATAATTTTTTTTTTCTTCAAAAAGTGTGGCCCACAAATATTGTGTGTGTAGGAAAGTTTGTTGTGTCATGTTAAATGACAAATGCAAACCCCATATATATATATAGGGTTTTACAATAGTTATATTGTAGGAAAAGTGATTGTGTAATGTTATAGAGATTCGTTTTACGTGCCATAATTTTTTTTTTTTACTTTAAAAAGTGTAAACCCACAAAATGTTAGATAAACTACACTATATATTATGAAAGCAGTGATTTTTGCGTGCCATGTATGTATATATATATATATATATATATATATATATATATATATATATATAACGACTTAATTGAGTTTATCTAAGGAATACAGTCGAAAGACGAACAAAGCATGATTCAATTGCAAGCAGTTCAATATAGAATTCAGAATTCAGATGATCAGTTGTCAACTTGTCATGACAATAAACAATTAAAAAATCTGAACAAAAGTACACAACCCCGAAGACTGTGTCACTCTGTGCATTTACTTTAAACTTGGCCTCCAAAACCAAAACCATTTGACACTTGTCCTGGGATTCTGCGCATTTGATTTGGTACACTTGCATGAGAGTTTGGGGACATCGCTGTATTACTCATATTAGTTTGTAACTGAAAATTCCTCGTGTTTCTTTGATGACAGTACACAAGTCTCATTTGAAGAATCAACAACTTGCATCTCTGAAAATCTTGAATTAAAAAACACAGTGCAAATCCGAAATTGCTAAATAAAAGTCAGTGCCTCGAGATTAGACAAACTCCAGCAGCCATATATTATAATTCCACATTTGGATCAACAAACTAATATTTTATTTTATTTTAAAAAGAAAACCTCTTTCA